CAGGCTCTTTGCTTCCCCTCCTCTGGCCCCCTGCAGAATAGCCCCTGCAGAGCTCCTGCCCTGCCATCTGTCAGGTCTCAATGCCTCTCTGTCCCTCTGTAGTGGAGTCAAAGGTATTCACTGTCCAGTTGAAAAGGCACCTGGGAGGGTCTACCCTACTCTTGGGCAAGTAGAAATGAGCTCTGGTGATAGAGACTTAGTCCATTTTCTATTTCTATAACAAAACACCCAAGACCAGATGACTTATAAAGAATAAAGGTTGTTTGGCTCATGGTTTTGGTGAGGGCCTCATGCTGGTTCATAATGAGGCAAAGACATCCCACAACAAAATAGGCAAGGGAGCCAGCTGCTCATCAAGCTCTCATCCCACTTGCTCTGAGCAAAGTAGCTCTGCCTGGGGTGCTGTGAGGAGGTCGTGTTTATTTATAGTTCGTTCAGCTCAGGCCATGTCAGCAGTGGGGAGAAAGAACAGAGCAGACTAGGCAAGGCAAGCCTGGAGGGGCTGGTCCTGTGGTGGTCGCTGGATATACCCAACCACCCTTATCCACCCAGTGCAGGTAGGAAGAGGAGGAGGCCAGCACCTTCAATGCTCGGTGCCTCTCAGTAACTAGCACAGTGCCACACTCAGCTCTCCAGCATCAACCTCAGTGAGGAACAGGTTTTGGAGCAATAAGAGGAATGGGTCAGCAGCATCCCCAGGACACCTCTGCTGCCCTGGTGGGCTTGGGTGGCAGTCATGGTCTTCCCACATGTCGAGGTGAAGACAAACACCTCCACTGCCTTCACACCACCCTACTAGAGAACTGCATCTCACAGAGCATGTGGCAACCACCTGTTCTTCCTGCATCCCTCTTGTAAGATTGACATGCTGATGGTGGGGACATTGTCAAGGACAACTGTCCAGCCAGTCCACACCTCTATCAGGAAGAACACTGCTGATTCAGCTGGGAGGTGAGGAGAAGCAGAACAGTGAGGCAGGGTGTGTACATGTGAGGAGATGCTTCTAGAAGGTGACCAGCAAGGGCAGAATGTTCATCTGCTCAGCCCCTCAACCATGGTGCTCCACCTTGGTGCCCTCCCTCCCTTCATTTCCCTTTTCCCTCCATCCCTTCCTCCCTCCTGCTTCCCCTCCTCCCTCCTTCCTTTCTTCTCTCTTTCCTCCCTTTCCCTCTTCTTTCCTCCCTCCCTCCCTTCCCTCCTTTCCCCTTTCCTTCTGCCCTCCTTTCCTTCCCTCCTTCCCTCCCTCCATCTTTCCTTCCTTTCCTTCTTCCTTCCCTCACTTCCTCCTTTCTTTTCCTCTTCCCTCATTCATTTCTTCCTTTCCATTTCCTGCCCAGACAGTTATCTTTTCATTGTGTGAATGACCATTTTTTTCCTCAACTAGATTTCAGGCTTAGAGTCAGAAGTCCCATGTGGCATTTACTTTTTATTTCCAACACAAATAAGCACAATATCATTTAATCATTTTTGTGTCAGAATTATTGATTCATTCAAAAATATTTAATGGATCCTACTGCATGCTGAGCCTCCTGGAGTTTGCATTCACTTGGGTCCCATGCCAGCACCTAGGAGCATCAACATGGAAATCATTAGGAGTCTGCAGGGCCAGCACTGCTGGATGCAAAGGAACTGGGAGCCTGGCCTTTTGTAGATGATGATTGTATTCAGTGCACAAATTTGCCTTGAGAGCATGACTTCAACAGGGTGGGAGGAGAGGAGACAGAGCTTCCATCTTTATCAGGAAGCAGGGTTTTTATAGGTCATACATCCCAGGGTGGCCTGTTTACTCCGCCTGCTTCCTTCAATGCTTGCAGTGCAGAATGCCTGGTTCTCCCAGTCGTAGGTGGCAGTAGTGAGCCCCTCAGGCTACACAACTTTCCTCTTCACTTCTGCAAGGAGCCAGCCAGACCTGGAACTCTGACCCAGTACTGGCTTCCAACCACAGTCCCAATCAAAGCCTCATTCAGGTTGTCTTTCTTCTTTCATAACATCTGTCTCAAATTGAGCAAAAGAATGGGCTGATGGTAGCAGACAGGGTTTTGGATACCATTCTCAAGTGAATGTGTATGGGAGGAACACATGCAGCCACATGTGCTACAGACACTGGCCTGGGGCAGGGCTCCGACTCCGATGGCCAGGAGAGCAGAGGTCCACTGCCATTCCACTAGCATCATGGCCCACATTGTCATGAGTGCATTCTCAGTTCAATCTCTGACCTAGAGAGCCTTGTCTTGGGGCAGTCTTGAGTTTTCAAGCTTTCCTCACCCTGCAGCCACTGCAGCCACCTTCCCACCATGGTGCAGAGAAGGCAGCCTCTCTTTTTGAACCAGAGGACAGAGTGCTTTTCAGTGCCCATTGTGGGGAGAGGGAAAAGGGGTGGAGAGGAAACAAGGACAAGCCCCTGTTCAGACTTCCAACAAAACATCAAGCCCAATAAAATTTGTTTATTAGGAATTTTGAAGAGAAAAAAGAGCTGACAGGCTATAGATTGCGGCTTTCTCTTTGAGCCCAGGGAAACCTTTGAAAGCGGGCCCTGAGGACAGCGTGGGGCAGTCATGGGTGAGGTAACTGGATGACATCGGCCCCTCACATCCAGCATGTGAGTGCTAGCCCTGTACCCAGTGCAGGACCTGCCCACAAGTCCTCCCAGCAGGTGGGGAAGGACCAGCACAGAGTCCAGGCAAGGAAAGGAAGGAAGTCTACTTGGGACTCTTCATCCATAGCTCTTGACCTGATGATGAGGCAAAGTCACATTTTAAGGCTTATGTTGAATATCAAAACCTGTAAGAATTAAATACAAAATGTCACACTTTTGTACTTCAGATTTAAGAGTTTTCTTCCCTGGGCATCAAGTGCTGCTCACAGTGGGGGTGGGGGTGGGGGCACGCTGGGCATTTTACACCCTTTCTTACTCACATGCAATACAACTGTGTTTGTAGAACTTACTTTGTGTAGTGTTAATCCTAAACAAATGCACAGCATGTTAATATTCCTGTTTTCAAGTAAACCTGGCTTTTGCAACCTGAGATGGCCCCAGTGAACATTCCCCCAGGCTGTGCAGCTGTGAGGTGGAGGTGTTAATGCATGATGACATGACATGTGCCACGAGGGGCACCGGAGGCCAACGCGACTCTTAGCCCAGTTATGTATTCTGTGTGCCGGATGACAGTGCACTTACTTTCTCTCTGTTCTGAGACAGCTGTGCAGCCTTAGCAGGAGCCAGTCTTGTGCTGAACTAAAGAACAGAGTGCGCTTCCATATTCACTGAACACATGGCGTCATTCAGTGTTGGGGTTGGGATACCCTACTCTTGAGTGATGGAGTTCTGGGAACTGGACCCTTACAACAGTAGAACATAGAATGCTTCCTGTGCACGAGCCATTTCAGACACTGGATGCTTGGCCATGGCTCTGACCCCTCTGAAAGGGACATGGCTTGACACAGAGCCTCTGACTTGGTTTCTTCCTGCTGGAAGGCAGGTTCATGACACAGCAGGACAGCCAGAGCTGGGGTTTTGCGGTCTGCAGTGTTGGGGGCAAGTCCCAGGGAGGGGAACTTAGGTTCTTGTACGTGTGAAACACCAGAGGGCTATGGAAGATTCTGGTGCTCTTGTGGGGCCAGAAGCCACTTGGATCTTTCCCAGCCTGGAGGAGAACCTGGTTATCACTCAGGGCATGTGACAGGAGGGCCACAGCTTTATATTACGGCCAAACTATCTCTAGAGCAAAAGGTAACTTAAAGCAAGAACTGGCATGATCAACCTAAATCAAAAGAACCTTAACCGCATGCAGAGCTGAGCCTGGCAGGGCAGTGTTGTTCTTCACTAGACAGTAACAAGAAATTCTAAACACGTGACATAAAATTCAGTGTCCAACATCTGCCCCAAACCTCATGACAAGAAGTGGACCGGCCACAGGGACCGATGAGGGAAGGCTGAGATGTGGACTCATCAGGCGAGCATAGGGAGGTAGCTGGGGTGCTGTGTTCAAGTGTAGGGCATTTGCATGCCACATGCTGGCCACCATCTGCAGGCGTATCGGAATGAATGGGATCAATGCCAAGGGTTCCCACTGCAAGAGGTGTGTGAGATGTGGAGGGTACATGAGAGGCTGTGGGCAATAGGGCAGAGCTGGCCCTGAAATGATCCCATGTCACTCTACTGGTTGGCCAAGGAGAGCCGTGGCTGTGACCCCTTCCCTCCCATCACTTCCCCATTGTTAGTCTCCACTACTGTCAATATACTGCTTCAGACTTGTTCCGGCCCTGGGAGGTGCTGGCCTGTGGCTGGCCCCTGACCCCTAACCTGTATCCTCTGTCCTCTGTCCCTCAGCATCCTTGAGTGCCAAGGGCTCCCCATTGTGAATGGGCAGTGCGATCCCTATGCCACGGTGACGCTGGCTGGACCCTTCAGGCAAGTGTCCTTCCTGTTACATCCTGGAACTTTGGTTCTAGTCTGGGGCCTGGCGAGTCACCAGGTCCTATTCTGGAACCATGAGGTTGGCGCCCCCTTTCAGGGGATGAGGATGATGCACTGTGGGGTGGGTTGTGTTCTTTCAACTCATTTTTGTTTCCGTTATAACTCTAAAATTGTTTTGTGAAGCAGGAAGCCTTTCGATCTTCACTGGGTATTTTGGGCTCAGTAAAGGTTCATGATTTGCATACCATCTGGAGGTGGAGACAAACAGAAATGTTTATGAGATAAACCAGGCAGTGAGCGAGTGTGTATTTGATAGCTCAGATGTTTTTAATCCTAATCATTCCTTTCTCAACTGCAGGTCAGAAGCCAAGAAGACAAAAGTGAAGAAGAAGACCAACAACCCTCAGTTTGACGAGGTGTTTTATTTTGAGGTCTGTGCTTCTGTGGAATGCACGCTAAAACCTGGGATTGAGTGTCCATCCCAGCTACCTCGTGTGTCCCAGAGAATAGTCCAGACCTGCCCAGCCTGGAGAGTTGGATGTGCTTACTTCCCCAGAGTTGTCTTCCTTCCCTGAGAGAAAGGCCACTTGATGCTCCCCGAACTTGCCCAGATTCGGTTGGAAGGGGCAGGTTAATGCTGTTCAAACCACCAGACTCGGGGACTCTGTGTTGGTTATTTGGTTTTGGGTTCTTTGTTTTTCTGGCTGTTTGCCTCAGCTTCCCTGAACAGGGTGAGGCTCATTTTGCCGGAAATGTGAGAGTTTGAGCAAAAGGGGAAATGATTCAGACCCAGAAGTCCCCTGGCTGCCTCTCAGAACATGGAGTCAGTGTTAGCCAGGGAGGGTGAGGCTGGAGGTCTCTTTGGTGGATGGCAGTAGCCTGGCTGTGGGATTCAAGGTGCAGGCAGGCAGGGTCCTTCCTGGCCTCAGTACTTCCTGCTGATCACACACAGGGGAAGGGTGGCCAAGGCCTCAGTTGCTCTCTTCAGAGCCTACTATGTTGCAGGAGAGAAAGCCATGAGTACAGGTGGTATGTGGTCCCAGGACTGTTAAGAGGCTCCAGGACATGGAGAACTCCATAGCGCTAGGATGCCAGGGCTTTCCAGGGGTGCTGACTTCACACAGGAGGGGGCATGCTCCAACACAAGGGAGTAGACATCAGCCCCAGAGGCCCTGTGGTTGTGTGTACAGTGAGATGCGTGAACACAGCACTATGGAATGGTGGTCAGGAGTCAAATCAAGGGGCTCTACGGAGCCTACTTGAACTTGGAGTTCACTGTAGTGGAGTCCAGGCGGAGCTCTTAAGTTTCTGGGAAGAGGCATAGAGGCAGGTCTGTGGCAAGGGAGGTCCACGGGGCTGCAGGGAGAAGCTGTGCTCTGTGTGACTGGAAAAGTCCTCATTTTCATGGCCAAGTGGAGCCCAAGGTCTCCAAGTGCAAGAAGTAGCAGGGCTTCCCTCTACTCTTGGGGGTCTCCAAAACAGAGACACGTTGGGGAAAGTTTTGAGTAGGAATTGCAAATCAAAGCCAGTGATTCCTTGCCTGGACCTCCTGGAGTGGCTCAGGCCAGCGGCTCCCATGCTGTTTTTAATTTGGTGAGCAGTAAGAAACAGACTTTACCTACCCTGTCCGATCGCCTACACCTGCTCCTTCCCTGTTCTTACTCTAAGTGAGATCCTGCATTTCGATGCTGTGCACCCTCTGTTCACTTGGTAAGGATGAGGGTCCCAACCCACTGGATTCACTTAGTGCTCCCGATAAGCATGAGAATCATGGTCTGGAGTGCCTGCCAGTCTCCCAGGAAGGCCTGAGTTTGGCGGGTACAACCCAGACCTGAGGACACTGAATATTGTCCAAGTGTCTGTCCTTTGACTCAGCAACCCCATCCCAGTTTAGCAGCACTTTTTGGGTCTCCTTGTGCTTTCAGTTTCAGCTGGCCAACAACCTCACAGCTTGGACTCAGTGAGGCAATGCCCCAGGAAGGGCAGGAACTGCCCTGGCCGGACTGTGCTGCCCCCCCACAGTGCACAAGTTTTAGTAGGAAGTAGCTTCCAGAACATTTTCTTCCAGGTAACAACCAGATTTATCCAAAAAAACCTCTTAAATATCCAAGTGAAGCCATTTTTAATTCTGTAAAAGCCACTTTCATTCACTCACAGATCTGCCAGCTGCCTGCTCCACACTGGTGATGGCTGGGGAGAGAGTGCAGGTGACAGCTGAGATGTACCATAGCACCAGGATCCTCCTCACCAGGGACAGGGTGATGGGAGGCCTGGGGTCTTCGTGGTGGAGGTGGCATTTCAGAGACACAGGCAGGCTGAGAGAGGGCATCGTAAGTGGGGAATACAGGGATGTAGCAGGGATGAGGTGGGGCCAAGAGGGGCCTAGTGGAGGCCTAATGGTGCAGGAGGAGGGTGGGTGTCCCATGGCAACAAGGGTGTAGAGGTCAGTAGGCAGGGAGGGAGCTGCCCCATGGGACACTAGTCTTTACTCTGCTTTACCAACCAGAAGATTAAAACTCAGAGATCAAGCAACTTAGGTAAAATGACTGTCAAGTTCTGGGTTAGAACTCAGCAGAAAGCTTCCAAGTTAATGTGAACCCCTCTGACTTGGGAAGGGTGCTTGGTGGGGCAGTGTCCAGTAGAGGGCAATATGGTATCTGTGGTTAAGGAGGGCACAGCCTCAGCACTTCCTGGCCTCCTGGCCAATGTCTTCAGTCACCCTGCATGTTGAGTCTAGCTCCTGTACATTTTTATGTTTAAGGAGCTCAAGGTCTCCCAGAGGAAAATAGCAGCATTTGATCTTTCAGTTTTCTGACCCTCCCTGGGCATAGGCTCCCTGGAGAGAGTTGCTCAGAGGGTTGTGTAGAGCCCTGAAGCAAGTTCTGAGGTCAGGAAGCTGGGCTTGGAGCCCATATCCCATTCTGCCCTTCATGCTGGTGCCCATTCTCAGGGCACATGGTGTGGTAGGCCATCCTGCCCTGGGGCTGCGGGTGCCAAGTTGCAACTCTAGCTGCTGAGCCAGTGGGTCTGATGTCCCTTCTCTCTGTCTGACTTCAGGTAACCAGACCCTGTAGCTACAGCAAAAAGTCCCATTTTGACTTCGAGGAAGAAGATGTGGACAAACTTGAGATTCGGTGAGTGAGCAGTCAGGACCCAGTGCTTTCTTCTGGGCAGTTTAAATCTGCACTCATTTGTTTTGTTTCTCAAAGCAGGCCCATAGATAGCATGAACGTCTATTTTCATGACTATTTTAGCAGCAAGATGGCAGCAGTTACAGTTGAAGTAAGCCTGTGTCTGGCACTCAAATGTCAGGTTGAAAAAGCTTATTAAAGGGCCAGTTCAGCATTGTAGCTCACTTTGCAGCATGTAGGAGGCAAAGGTCAGAGGTTATCAATGCCCACCACGTTCCATCTACTCAAACCATCAACTTGGTAGACCAGGCACACTGCAGTCACGGCTATTTGGGGGTCTTATTCTAAAGCCCTTGGTGCACACCCTGCACTTGCAACCCTCCAAGATCCAGGATCAGTTCTAGAAACTGCCTGGGGCATCTTCACACCAGCACTGTTCATAGGAAGTCCCATAGGGACCTGGCAGGTTTGTTCCTCACATCTCTTTTCTGAGCAGAATCCTTATGTGTCCCTGGGTGCTGCATCCGGAGGGCTGGATGCCCCTGCAGAGCTCCAGTCCCCTCTGAGGCCACAGCACCAGTTCTCATACGATGCTCCCACCTGCAGGTCCTTTGTGGGTAATCCTGCTCCATCCAAGTGTGTCATCATGGAAACTGGGTCTTCCCAAGCATTCACCTGCACTCCACCTTCCTTTGTGGCATCCTAACTCTCCAGTAGCTGTAGCTGTGGGATGATGACATGAGGGTTTGCTCAGGTCTAATACCTCTCACCCAGTGTGAAGACAAGGTGCAGGAAGGGAAGGAAAAGGGCATCAGAATGCACTGAGCTGTTCCTTCCTGGCCACCCTCCTGGTCTGTGGTCTGCCTCTGGTCTGCACCTCCATTTACATTGGTTGGAGAATGGGACCAGACTGAGTGGTGCTCTGACAGTTAACATATGGTAGAACCTGCACACTTTTACTTCTGTAGTCATGGACTCCTGACTTGTGAACACTGGCAGATGTCCACCACCTGCTATCAGTCAAATACAGTTAATTCTATAGCCCAAATCCAAGGGAGCACCAAACATCCCCTCAGGGAAAAAGCATCAGTGAGTGGCCCCATCCTGCCAGGAAGCTCTGTAGACACCAGTGTGGACTTCTCCCAAAGGTGCCCCAGACTGTGCATGGTTTGTGGTTTCTTGAGACCCAGCCACAGTCTCCCTTCTGGTCTTTGTCTTCAGCCCCTCCCCACCAAGATCATGGTTCACCCCAGCAGTCTAGTGGTCAACAGAGGCAGGGCTCTTTTCCAGGAACAGGGTGTCAGACACCCTGCTACTCCTTCTAGGAGAGTTTCATGTTGTAAGGATGCAGCACCCATCCTTGCATTGCCCCATCCTGGGGTGGGCAGCTGCCGTGAACCTGCAGATTAAAGCCACCATGCTGGGGCAGAGCCAAGGTACTCACAGAGCCCTGGTGCCTCCCCAACGCTTGCTCACTTGGGGCTGTGGGCTGCTCCTGCGTAAAGGGACCTTTGACATCACAGCCAATACTGACAGCAGTTCCTTGATTTCTAGTGATGCCCAGTGGTTGCATCCATCTCCAGGCCAGGAGGGGCTGAGTTTTGTGGTCCCTATTGCCCCCACCCCAAAGCCAGGAACAGGCCCTGTCTCCCTTCTGCTTGCCTGTCATGTTGGGAATCACACATCTGCCCTTCAGCACAGTCTGATTGACTGCTGTTGATACAGATCTTCACAGACACTGACGGGGAAGTGGAGGCTCCTGCTCCTCACTCTACCTGAAAGTAGACACAGTCCATGCCCTGCCCACCAGGCTGCCCTGCTTAGCAAGACCTCAGTGTGCTCGTTTTTTTCAGAGTTGACCTCTGGAACGCCAGCAACCTGAAGTTTGGAGATGAGTTTCTGGGGGAGCTGAGGATCCCGCTGAAAGTCCTGCGGCAGTCCAGCTCATATGAGGCATGGTAGGTGTGGGTCTCAGGGAGTGCCAGCATCCAAGGGCAGCCTCACACCACAGGAGAACACTGTGCTGCACTGACCCTCAGCCCTGTCTAGTGCTGCTTGCTCTTACTTTGCTTGTGGTTCTGTCTCACTCAGACTTGGTGATTGAGTTTCTACTTGTAAGCAGATAAGAGACAGTAGATGAGGGGAGGTAATAGGTGAGCACATTGAGAGCAAGAGAAGTTGCACTCAAAGTCTTAAGACAAAGACTGGGAAGAAATAAAAAGTAGGCCTTAGAAATGGAAATAGCTGGGCTTCTTCCAGGAAGGCGCATGGCTGGCACAGCTCAGTGACCAACTGTCCACGAGGCAGACTCTGTGTGGATGGTCTTCATGGTCTTCTTGGGTCCCTAGCAGCTCAGTTTGCAAAGTGTGTGCATCTTAGGCTCCTGATGTGCAGCCTCCCTCTGCTTCAGAGCCCACCTAGGTGCACATGAAACTTACTTTCTGCTTCCTGTGTCTTAATTTCTGGTTTTCTTCAGACTGAATTTGGCAGAGAGAATGCAACTTCATGTGATTGGTTCACATATTTCCTTTGCAACACAAGGTGCACAGAGCTGAGTGTCCTGTCAGTGTCCCTGCACACTGTGTTGTCACTCTGCAGGTGCTGAGGCAGTGTTTTGCCACTTGGAAACTTCCAGTTTCATGAGGACCTGGCCCTGATAAGAGGTGGCCTCTGCAAACCACTTAAGAGTGCTGTGGCCAAGTGCCTCAGAAAGGTTCTACCTCAGCAGGTCCTCAACTGCCTGGTCAGGGATGTCCAAGTGGAGAGGAATGGTCACACTGGGCAGAACAAGGAGAGATGAGTTCTGTTTAGAAAACATTGCAGAATAACCCCTGGCCTCCTACACCAGCTGGCCCTCCCCTCTGAGGCGAAAGCCACACCACATTTCTGTCAGAGTGGTTCTGATGGCTGCCATGGTCCAATGCTAATGACAAGTGGCAACTAACAGCAGAGGCTACCCAACCCCTCACCTGCATTTCCTTCCAGCAGGCTCATCTGCCCCTTCTCACCCTCTCCTCATCCCTCCTGCTCCTGACTCCCCTGGCCTCTAAGACTGTGGCTCTGCAAAATGCCCAGGTGACCACACCTTGGGATCTCCTGCAGAATGGCCCTGCTCCCCTGACCTCCTGCCTGAGACCCACTATGACAGCACTGAGGCAGGGAAGCCATAGGCAGGTACTGGACTGCCCCGGAAGTGCTCATGGAGAATGCCACTCTCACCCACCCTCTGCATCATTCCCTCCCAGGTACTTTCTCCAGCCCCGGGACAATGGCAGCAAAAGCCTGAAGCCTGATGACTTGGGCTCCCTGAGGCTGAATGTGGTTTACACAGAAGACCATGTCTTTTCTTCCGACTACTACAGCCCCCTGAGGGACCTGCTGTTGAAGTCTGCAGACGTGGAGGTATGTGTGCAAGCTACACATTCACCAGTGAGGAGCTGGTGTCCAGCTCCACACACCTTTCCTGGCTCACCTACCTTACTGGCCACCCACCTGTGAGGCCCTGCCCACTCACACCTACTACCTGGCCCCTGTCAGACCCCGCCCACCCCTGGGCCTCTGGCTGCTCCCTGGTGATGTCTCCTGGAAACTTTGTTACCCTGTGTCCTGCTCCTAGGTTACAGATGTGTAACCCTTTGCTGTGCAGGAGTGCCCAGCCCTCCCTAGTAAGAGCTCTGTAAACCCAGCCTGCTTAGACTTCTGTTCTGTGTCCATCTACTCTGGGCCCCAGTGCTGCTGATGCTGGGGTTGGCAGGAGGAAACTCAGACCCTACCCCAGGACGTGGCTGGGCAAGGTGCACACCAGCGGTCCCATTGTAGGTTTTTGTGAAGTGCATTTCTCTGTCTCAGCAAAGAGGTACAGAGTATTTAGTGTAGTTAGCAGGTGGTCCTGCTATCCACAACATGCACTCACCCACTAACCATGGGGTGGAGGGGTCTGAAGTCTTTGGGTTCTGCTCTTGGGGGTATACTGCCAGAAGGAGGCACTGCTCCCTGAGGTACTCATCTCACTACTCATATCATCCCTCTGCCCAGCCTGTCTCAGCCTCAGCAGCACACATTCTAGGTGAGGTGTGCAGAGAGAAGCAAGAGGCAGCCATCCCGTTGGTGCGCCTCCTCTTGCACTACGGCAGGGTGGTGCCCTTCATCAGTGCCATCGCCAGCGCAGAGGTGAAGAGGACCCAGTGAGTGCCTGCCCTGCCCCCTTCTCACCACATCCCCTCCCCCAGTGTGTGCCCTCTCTGCACCCCTTATCCCACTGTGCCTGTGTGCCACCCACCACACCCATTCCCACTGAGCCCCATCCCCCCCGCGTCTTTTCCCCTGCTGTGCCCCTATTCCAGAGCCCCCTTCCTCTTCTGCACATTTACCCCTGCTGTACCCCCACCCTGACCACCATGTCACCTTCCCACTGAGCCCTCTCTCCCCTGCCTACTGCACTCCTCCCATGGTAGGAAGTTGGGCCCCCCAGATATGTGGTGGTTCAGGAGTTGGAGCAGTGGCAGTTGCCATCCAAAACCATGTCCAAGCATAGAGTTGATTGGAAGTGAGGGTAACAGACTCTCCAGAAACCCCACAGGTTCTGGCTCTGTCACACAGAAGCTGTTATGGGTTCTACCAGAAAGCACCATTTCTTGAAGGGTTGGCAGAGAGAGGGTAGGAATGAAACAGGCCCCAGGACTTGAGGCTCCCCAGGCTTCATCAGCTCTGAGTAGCTCCAGGTTCCCCCCCAGAGCCCACATCACCAAGTCAAAGGCCCAAGGTGAATGCTACTTCCCAGGGACTGGAGGCTGTTCCTGGGATGTCCCTTGATTGGGAAAATCCAGAGTGAAAGCACAGTGGTGACCAACCTGGGGGGACACATTTTGTTAGCTTCTCTGCTTGGCCTCATGCCAGGCTGAGGCTTCTCTGCAAAGAAACCTAACTCTATGCAGAAATTGCTGTTATGTGGGGGCAGAGCAGCTTCCAACTGGTCCGTGGCCACATACAGTGGTACAACATCTGTTGGGACTGGCTTGTTACACAGCACAGCCCCAGGCTTTGTGATTTTCTTAAGACATCTGGAAGCAGACCTGCCAGGGCTCTCATGTCCCCATTTGATGACGGGCTCTGCCCCAGTGAAGTCTGTGCCCCCTCAGCCCCTCAAGGAGACAGATATCATCCCTGATGCTATTTTCCAGGGACCCCAACACCATCTTCCGAGGAAACTCACTGACATCCAAGTGCATAGATGAGACCATGAAGCTGGCAGGCATGCACTACCTGCATGTCACCCTGAAGCCCACCATAGAGGAGGTGAGATGGTCCTCTGACCTCAGAATGATGGCCAGAGTTTCGATGAGAGACAAGTGAGGGGGGTGGGCAAACGGGCTGCCCACCCCCCCCCACCATGGGGACCTCCCTTTACAGGCTTTTGTGGAAAGGACATTCTCTGTGTACTACTCTAGAGTCTTCCTTTTTCAAATTAAAAAAAAAAAAAGTAAACTTAAAATCTGTCTTAGGCATGCTCTGTGAAAGCAGAAGGATATATGAAATATGCCATTCTTCCCAGGGGTCCTTTCCCACACTGTGCCCTGAAAGTCTGGGCTTGCTGGCTGGGATTGAGGGCTGTACCCAGTACCCTGTGTTGTAGGGACAGTTGTCTCTTGCTGCATGGGGCTGTGTGAGGCCAGGACTAGTTCTTAGGCGACTGCAGTCCAGGCCAAGCCCTGCAATGCAGCCTGTGCCTGTGACCAGACAGGGTCCACTGTGGCATCTGCTTCTAGGCTGGCCACACCATGTGCAGTACCCTCTTCACATCTTCTAGATATGCCAGAGCCACAGGTCCTGTGAAATTGATCCTGTGAAGTTGAGAGACGGCGAAAACCTTGAGAACAACATGGTAAGAGATCTGCTTTGTTCTGAGCCACTTTCCAAAGCATATCACCTACAGGGGTTTCCACCTACTGCCATGTGGACACTGTCCCCAGGTCTCAGGGACCCTGAGGCACTGGGGATTGCTCCCCTTTCCCTTGGCCCAGAGCACAGCCCAGAGAACACTTGTCACCTGTCCACCATGGCCTTACTCACTTGCCTCCCAGAGGCTCTCTCATCTGCCATCATCAGGCTGCTTCATAACACCCTATTCTCCAAACCAGCAAAACTGGTGTTTTAATCTCTTCCTGTGGCATCTTCATGCAAGTCAGGTTCTCTTTGGGTCATACCTTTAAACAGAAATGCAGTTTCCCATCTTTGGAGGTGCACCCTGGTGGATTTCAGTCCCTCTCAGTGACATCAGGGAAAAGAGGGGCCTGCTCTATCAGGGAATGATTATTTCACCATGAATTATTGTAGCTCTTCAGTGCATGTTTAAAAGGAAGGATGTTTGTAAACTTTTTGGAAATTTATCTTTGCTCACACTCTGAGCTGTCAATCATCCAACCTTTGCAGGAGAGCCTGCGGCAGTACGTGGACCGCATCTTCACGGTCATCACCAAGTCTGGGGTGAGCTGCCCCACTGTCATGTGTGACATTTTCTTCTCCCTGAGGGAGGCAGCTGCCAAGCGCTTCCAAGGTGAGCCTGAATTGCTGGGCTACAACCCAGCCATATGGGGCACTGCCCTGCTCCTGCAATGTGAAACAAGAATGTCAGTCCCCTGGCATGGGCCTGTTCCCCTGAGAGTTACCCTTGTGCATTTTCTTACGGGGTTGTGAGCTCTGCACCACTGTCTTGTCAAGAACACCAGCCCCTTGAGGAACCTTTCCATCATCCAGGGCTCAAGTGTTGGGGAGTGTAAAGGAGCAGTTCCTTGTGACTTGCATGTCTCTCTCCAGAACCTACTTCTTGGTCAAATTAGCTCCTGGAAGAGCAGAGGCCCTGCTCCACAGGCCTCTCCAAGCCCATACCCTGCCCATGGACCTCTCTGGATCTTATGCCCCTGTTCCACAGACTTCTCTGACCTCACCCAGACCTCCCAGACCCTGCCCCCTGATTCATACAGACCTCCCATGAACTGGGCACGAGTCATCAGCTCAGACTTGGACTAGAGCTGCTTTTCAAGTGTAGCAAGCTTCTTGTTTCCAGCTCTGGCACCCTAGGTTTAATCTGCCGGGTTATGTCCTGCTGGCCCCAAAGAAGTCCTGTCCCCATCACCCTGGCTTAGCAAGTGCAGGGGCTCACTGAAGAGGGTCAGGGAGGCAATTTCCAAGAACGAACTGGGAGTAAACAAAACTGTCATCCCACCAAGATGAAAGCAAATTGAGTCCCCAGGCAGGTCCCAAGAGAATACCCCTTGACAGCCACTAGATGGTGCCCTACTGTGACAATAACAAGAGGGATGGAGAGAGATGAAGAGAGAGATACAGAGACACACAATGAGACAGAGACAAAGACACGGACCCCAAAAGAAATACATATGTATATATATATTTAGAGAGGCAGAAGCGGAGGCAGAACTGGAGTCCCGCTTCTCCACAAGGCCCGCAGGAGAGCAGGACAAGGTTATAAGCCCTCAGGCGGCTATGCTGCCGTCCCCAATTGAAGCAGATCCCCTGCCTGCTCACAGATGACCTGGATGTGAGGTACACTGCTGTGAGCAGCTTCATCTTCCTGAGGTTCTTCGCACCCGCCATCTTGTCCCCCAACCTCTTCCAGCTGACGCCTCACCACACGGTAAGTGAGCTAGTCCGTAAGCCAGCCAGCCTGTCCTGGTAAAACAACCAGTCCTCCTGAACCAGCTGTCTGATCCTCCCAAACCAACTAGTCCTCCTGAACCAGCAAACTAGTCCTAGTAAACCACCTAGTCCTAATAAAACAGCCAGCCCTCCTAAAACAGCCAGTCCTCCTAAAACAGCCAATCCTAAATCCCTTAACTCAATGACCTGGACCAGGGTCTCTGCAGTTAGACAGAAGTAGGTGACATCATGCCAGCCTGGCCCTTCTCTGTCCTCAGGTGGGTTCAGCAGCCTTTCTACTTCAATTGCTGTATTTTCAGAGGGATCAATAATTTCTAAAAAAGTAGTTAAATGGTTTGACCAGACAGGGCCTTAACTGCTGGTCACTATTATTTTGCCCCCTTTTCCACCATGAGAAACTGGTATACTTATGATCCTATATACATCCATGCATCTGTTCACAAGGCAATAGACATCATCCAGCACCTGCCATGGACAAGGCCCCCTCCAGCATCTGGGACTGATAGCTGCGTCGGGCTGGCATTCCGCTGGGGTGACAGAGTGCCACGAGATAAGTGTGCCAGGTAGAGGCAGAAAATAGCCTGGGATGAAGGAGTTCATACGATGACCCATTTGTGTTTTTGTTGATTTTGAGTTAAACCTTCCAAGCCCTCTGAAGGGTACAAACATCCCCAGGCAGGGTCTTGGCACCTCAGCTGGAGCAGCTGTAACCCTGCAGGATGCCTCTGAGTTTGAGACATTCCTTTGTGTATTGGGCCAAGGGGACTGAGCTGGACAGCCCTTAGCTCACTGCACCAGGAGCCCACAGAGTCTTGCTGAAATAGGTTCAGGGTCAGGGGTGAGATCCGGCCCCAGGAGATGGGGATCTTCACAAATCCCACTTAACTCCCAGTGCATGTGTTTACACTGTAGCAGCTTTTGTTGATGTCGTCTCTTTTGTCATCTGTGGTCCTGGGACCCATCACAGCATTTCTATAGAACTGGATCAAAACCTGCATTTCTTCTTTTCCTGTCTCCAACAGGATCCACAGACGTCCAGAACCCTGACACTTATCTCTAAGACAATCCAAACTCTGGGCAGCCTGTCCAAGTCAAAGTCTGTAAGTCTACTCTCATTTTCTCATCTGCTCTGACTTGGGTTTGTTGTCACCCATGTGACCATGGCTAGCTCTTTCACATCTGAACCATGAGCCTCAGTCCTGTTGGCCATCATCTGTGACCTTTCATTTTAGGCCAGTTTTAAGGAGTCATACATGGCGACCTTCTATGAATTCTTCAATGAACAGAAGTATGCTGATGCTGTAAAAAATGTAAGTATGAGACCATCAGCAAAGATGTCCCCTACACTGTCATTCCCAGGCTAGCCTGTGCCTCCAGATGCCTTTCTGGTCCCAAGATGCCTTCTTTTCACCCAGCACTGTCTGTGCCCTTGGGACATGGCACCCCTTGGAGTCAATGTCTGGAGGCTTTCTGTGGCAAAGGCCTTAAGCCAACTGTGAACCACTTGAGTCCTGGTCAACCCACTGTTCTACGAGTTTCATGTCTTGCCCCTGCCAGCTGCCATCCCGAATACCCCCCCGGCCTGTGTTATGGACACTGTGTGGACTGTGTGGGGAAAGAGATTTCTGACCCTGGACTTTGCTCATCTCTACTGTTCAGAAACAGGCCCTGCTATTTCTTTCTCAGAAATCAGAAAAGCCCTGGACAGTGAAGGGAAGGAAGGGATGGGAGACCAGAGCAGCCCTGAGCTGATGGGAGGAATCCAAGGAAGTCACAGACCAAACTGGGGGTGCTTAGGTAGTGAATTGCCTGAGCTGTGGAAATCCAGGGGGATCCTGGGCAGGGCTGTGCCTCCCTCCCCTCCTGGCCTCGGCTGCACCACTGGAGCCTGACTTGGGTCCCCAGTGAAGTGCAGGCAGGTTCCCTGGCACCTGGCTCAAGCAGGCAGCCTCTCATAAGATCCTGGCAGGGTTGAGGCCACTATGGGTTGGTACAGTGGAGACAAGCATAGGTCCCGCAGCTCTCATAGGACTCAGGTCCCCAAATTCTCTCCACTACATCAGAGAGGAGGCACAAGCATCTTGTCAGAACAGATGGACCTCAGCGTACTTCCTCTCCTAATGGTCTGGCTTCCTTCCTACTTCAGTTCTTGGATTTGATTTCATCCTCGGGGAGAAGAGACCCCAAGAGCATAGAGCAGCCCATCCTGCTTAAAGAAGGGTAAGGCAGCTAGGCTGGGAGAGGAGGTGGGAATAGTGGGTGCCATTGTCAGGGGTAGAGGCTGTTGGGGCTGAGAATGGCGAGTTCCCCTGCTGGGGAGAGAGGCAGAAGGGACAGTAGGTTCCACTGAGAATGACAGGCAGGTGGGGATGTCACCAAAGAGGCATCAAGGCTCTGGTCTGGCCATATGACCAGTGGCCAGTGTCAAGACACCCTAGACCCTTTCCAGAGTATCTCCCAACTCCTCAGGGTTGGGAGAAGCGTGGCCTCCTTCATCCACTACTCACAGGGATTCCACTGCAGGAGATGTGCTTGCCTGTGGCAGCTCTCTGCCAGTCCATGAATTTTGCAGAGTGAGAAAATGCCTCAGAAATCACTCTGTGGTTGGGACTTCCACACAGTTGACTATCTGCCCTTCACCCCATGCTGCTGAGGTCTTCTGTCAGGAAGCTGGGTTCAGAGGTCTGGTAGTGGGAAGCAGGCCCATGGCCTGCAGCCTGGGGTCTTCCACACCATCTTGGCAGTCCTGTTGGTTGACACTCCATTGCTCCATGACCACTCCATGTCCTGCCTCTGGGCACGAGCGTTCCCTCCCTGAGCACAAATTTTGACAGAGCTACCTAATTCCCTCAGTTCTCCCCATGGCCTGGTTCCCAGGTCCCAGCCAGGGCTCTGCTTCACTGCACTTGGCCTGTGTTCATTCAAGAACAATCTCTGCTGTCTTCCTTCACATACCTTCTTTTCATGTAGCCGTGCCTTAACCACAGCATGATAGCATCAACTTTACTACTTCCAAAGCAGTCATGTTCATCCCATAATCTCGAATTTGGCTTAGGGCCTGCAAGGGCTTGTGAAACTTATGTTGTGACACATTGCAGGGTAATAAGCCATTGAGGGAGCTGTGGCTCTCCCTGACCTCTACCAACACAACTGAGATTCCACTAGTTTTTCTAGTGGTCACACCATGTGCCACTCATGCTGAAGTTCTGGTCATTAAGACACTCAAGTTCCACCCCAAATCAAGGCTCCACCTCCTGCTTCTCCATCTGGTCCTGTCCCCAAACCACAGACAACCCCAGGTGGTCACCTGCAGGTGCATCTTGGGGACTGGTCTGCATCTCAGCTCTGCCTGATTATCCATACTCTGGGGGCGATGACTACGTTCATGGAGATGCATGTGTGCTGAGATGCACCCACTCTGTCACAATGCTCCTCAGGCCATCACCCAGCAGAACCCAGAGACACAGAACTCAGTGTATGTCAAGTTCAGGCAATCCTGCTTATGTGGGGTCAACATGCCTTGTTTGTGGCCTAAGGCACTCTGGCTACCAGTAATAGCTCCTGCCATCCTGGCCCACGGGGTGGGGGAGGAGGGGCATGTTGGTTGCAATTACAGCCACTCGTGAATGAGGAGCCTTGAGCAAGTGAATTCTCATGAATCTTTTTCCAAGAGAACTGTGACTTCTCTGCACACAGACCTGCACATAGCTGCTCTTCTCTACACACAGGAGCAGGATTCCTAGCAATGCAGTGTATACAGAATTTACACAAGCCTCATGCATGTGCCACATTACAAAGATTATGTTTTCCCAAGAAATCCTACAGCCAAAACATTTGTAAGACTATCTGCTGATTCAACTATCATATTACCCAGAATCTGTTAAGAAGTGTTTTCTGGCCTCCCCGCTGGGCCCTTGGCTGCCACCCCTCTGCACCCTGGCTTGTGCACAGGTGCTCTCACTGGGGAGACGCACTCTGCTTGTGCTGGCTTTGAACTGAGTCCACCTTTTTCCTGTCCTGAAGGGGTCTGAGGGTCCTGCTCTTCATACCTTCCATGGTGAGGAGTATCCTAGCCTTTGAGAGCATACGGGCAAGTGGTTCTCCAGCCCAAGTCGTGAGACACCGCTGTCCTAGTGCTCTGCTCCAGCCTCTTGAGTGCGGCTCCTGCATTCATTCTTCTAAGCAGAATGCTCCTCACTTAGGAAGCACTGCCCACGCTGCCATCCCCTGCAGCCTTGTTCTCTGCCCCCTTCCCTCTGTCCCACATTTCTCTCTCCAGTTTTCTCTTTCTTCGTGCTTTACCTTGCTGGCTCTGCATAAAGATCCTGTGCCAGCGATGAAGAACTGGGGTTTCATCCTCTGGGAAATAGTTTCGAGCTCCTGAGTGGGAAGGGCCTGAAGTCTGGGAGCAGAAGCCCTGGCAGGCTAGATCAGTGTGGAGCCCAGCTCTCAGCACATGGCAAGGGCTGAGGGCCGGTCATATCCTCCTTCCCTGTCCCCAAGCTGCACCATGTCCTGTATGCAGGTCAATTCCTAGCACACGCCTGCCATACCCTGTGACCAGAGCCGGCACATCCTCCCAAGTGTGTGTCCATGTTTCCTTCAGTGAACTGGGCTGTGGGCAGCTCAGTGTATGAGGTGGGAGTGCTGGAGTTCTGATGAAGCCTGTGATCAGCTGGCTTGTGGTTTAAAGTCTGCACCTGGAAGAGGCCATGCTTGTCCAAGCTGAGCATGTGTCTTTCAACTTCAGACTCGTTACTAGGAAGTAGCATGACAAGATACCTGGGGTGGACGGAGGGTGCTCGACCACAAGCAAGAAAAGGAGGAATGACTGTCATCTTGTCCCTGGAGGGAGGGATTATATACACGTGCCCCAAGCTGAGGACACTCACCAATCATCTTGTGCCATTCACTACAGGTTCATGATTAAGAGGGCTCAAGGAAGGAAACGCTTTGGGATGAAGAATTTCAAGAAGAGATGGTTTCGTCTGACAAACCATGAATTCACCTACCAGAAAAGCAAAGGTAACAAAGCCCTTACACACCTTCACTCAGAGGCCCAAGAGCCCTGGCAGGGGAGCTCTGATTTCTGGGGGATGGTGAGCTGGGAGGTTTGTCTGTCCCTGAGTACACAGCGCAAGCTACCTGTGGCCAAGGAGCTCAGGGAGCAGCCCTGGTAAGCTGGGTGGCCCTCAGCCTCTGCTGTTCTGCCCTTGGTGGACAAGGAAGACTTTGTCTTTGGTAAATCTGCTTCCCCACAGAACCAGGCCATGCAACTCTGGGGCCAGTCAGTTCTGCAGAGCATGTGCTGTGGGTAGCCTGGCACATGGGGCAGCTGTACAGCTGAACATGGCTCTCACTCCCTCTCTGCCTCAGGAGACCAGCCCCTCTGCAGCATCCCCATCGAGAACATCCTGGCTGTGGAGCGGCTGGAGGAGGAGTCCTTCAGAATGAAAAACGTGAGTACCTTCAGCCTGTCCTGGCTGCCTCTATCCACCTGGCTGCAGGCAAAGCCCTCCTACCACCCCACATCTCCAGGCTTGGGTCTCCACATCACCTGGGTGCTCAGCCATCCAAACCTGCCACTAGCCAGACTAAGGTCTGGGGACCCCCAGGGCAGCTTTTGGTCAGGGTCCCTCCTCAAAGACACAATAAGCATTGGGTTTCTTCTCAAAGGATTTTCACTTAGATGTGGTTGTGAGCTTAGAGAAACTCAAAGATCAGAATGGGGTTACTAGCTCCCTTCACCCAGCTTCCCGTTATGCCTCACTGGCTTGAGCTCACTCGCTCTTGGTCCTCCCTGTGTGTGTTGTCCACCTCTTTTCTGACTGTAAACACTCCAGCATGTATTTCTGAAGCAAAGATGTTCTTTTTAGAACCACAGTGCCATTCCACACTCAACCGCAGAACCCAGTCCACGTTCTCTAACCAGGCGCATGTCAGCCACTCCCTGTCCATGTCCACAAGCGGCAGTCACCCCAGCAGAGCTCTTATTCTTTCCCAGCAGGTGCAAGCTGCATGGAGCTTCTCTGTTGTCCTATGGGCTGGACTGCCCTCCTCATCTGTCTATGCCTTGTGGCCTTGGTGGTTCTGAGGCCACTCAGCAGGCTATTTTGTAACAGTCCCTCAGTTTGGACTTCTGATCAGATGGTCCTGTGAGGCGTTAGCTTACTGAGATGGTCAGGATTCCATCCATGGGGATCTTAGCCGTGGGTGTGCTTGATAGAGGCCAAGCTGTGTACACGCATGCAGGGGAACAGGGTGGATGCCCAGGAGTCTGGAGTCACAGCTCTTCAAACACTCTAAGGCCCATCTCCTTGGAAAGGGCCACATAGTCCTCCTAACTCATAACCTCCCCTCCAGGTCTTGAAACAACGCAGCCTGCTTCCTTGCAGGGTCTGGTCCGCCACTTCCCCTAATCCTTTTCTGTGTGCAGCCTGGCCTGCTTCAACTCCTGTAAAAATTGAGTTAGTTTTTCAAGGGATACTTCTGCAACTTAGGTGTTTCAAGGTGGGATCACCTAAACCTGTCTGATCTCAGGACCTTTGCCCCTACAGTGTCATTTGCCTGGGATACCCCACTCACTACACTCTGCACACTTAAATCTTAGTTCCCCTTTTGAGCTTGGCTTGGAGGACTATTTATTTAGATTTTCCTGATCCTCTTAGGGGTCACCCCTACACAACTACCTAAACTTTCTGTTCACTTTTATCTATCCTGCTGGCTAAAATTTCATCGGGACAGGGGCTCTGGGTCATGCTGTGTCCTCAGGTCCCAGGACAGTACCTGGCACTCAGCAATGTTTGTTGAATGAACAATAAATAGGAAAGGCAGTGGCGCTCCTGAGAGGCCTCCTGAGGAAGTTACACCTGGTGTAAGGAAGAGGAGGAGACCAGGTGGTCAGTAGGGAGGGAAAGCCTAAGGCTGGGCTACTGATGTGGTCAGGAAGGTGGGGACTCAAGCCCACAAGCACTTTGTGTGAAAGCTGAGCCCACTTAAATAAGACCCATAGAAATGAGCCACAGAGGCTGACAACCTGCAGCTGGCTTCAGGAGCCTGGAGGATGGCAGGGCTCTCCTGCACAGGACAGGAATTGCCCTAGTCAGCCTGACCTTGGGACTGGCCACATACCTCGGGCCTTCTCTCTTCTCACTTCCTCTGCCTCCCACAGCCCTTCAAGGGTGCAGAGGCCCTTGGCACCCATGGCTGCCTCTTCTGGTGCTCAGAGCTGCACAACATCAGTGTCACACCACTGCCTGAGCCATCCAGACCTACATCAGCTGCAGAACCTTGGGGCCTGTCTGGCTTCACTGGGTTCCCTGTGAAGGCATCAGTTATGGTCTCATGCCTGCTGGGCTCCCAAGTCCAGCCAAAGGCCCTTGTGGCCCCTGAGCCTGCCCTCTGTGCTCAGATGTTTCAGGTCATCCAACCGGAGCGCGCACTGTACATCCAAGCCAACAACTGTGTGGAGGCCAAGGACTGGATCGACATCCTTACAAAAGTGAGCCAGTGCAACCAGAAGCGCCTCACTGTCTTCCACCCGTCTGCCTACCTGAACGGCCACTGGCTGTGCTGCCGGGCCTCCTCGGACACAGCCACTGGCTGCACGCCCTGTACCGGGTAGGTTTGCGCCTCTGCAGCCCCACTCAGCCAGGCAGTTGTACTTATGTACTGTATGGAAAGTTCAGCAGAGGGGCCATGTGGATATTAAATTGTAGCCCAGAGCTGTTCTCACCATCCTCTAAGGAGCCCCACAAGGAGCCCTGGGTCTGGCCCTCTCTGAGGCTCTGAACAAGCATGCACTCAGCCTTAGTGGTTCCTCCAAGCCACTGCCCAGGGAAGAGCTGTCCCTGGGGTGGCAAGGAGGAGGGGACTGGGTGCTGAGAGAACCTAGGACAGGGGCTGTTTCTTCTGAGAACCTGGATAGATTGCATGTCCTTGAGAACATCATCAGCTCACAGACACCCCACCCTGGCTTTTCCATCTGCATCGCTGCTTTCCTCCCCTCATTGGAAACTAAGACAGGCTGTTAACTTCCTGTCCCCCTTGTCAGTTGGGCCTCTTGTGGTGATCCGAGGCTCTGTCATCTCTGCCAGTTCTGGAAGGCAGCCAGGTAGATGCCCTGGAGCTTGGTGCTGTGCTGGGTAGATTGTGTGACTTGTGCACATGGCAAGGAACATTGACAGCCTCATGTGGTGATCCCAGGGTGGATGAGCAAGTGTCGCTGGTCAGTCTTCAGACTCTGTCATTGATGCTCCCAGGGCCTGAAGGGACTTTGTGCCCAGATTTGCAGATGCAGGGGTGAAGCTCAGGAGAGGCTGCTTGTCCAACCCCTGGCTGTGTGCAGGGCTCCACACCCCCAGGACCCTCCTCCATCCTCAGCCAGACAGGAGCCAGACCCATGGCTTTCATGGAAGACAGGAAAACTGGCCTTTCCACCGGGGCAACCAACCCTTCAGGGACACATGCCTGAGACTTATTCCAGATGGTTTCTGGCCTTGTGTCCTGAGAGGCCCCTGGTCACAGAGGCTGGACAGTCCTTTCTCACATTCCACCCACACCCAAAGCCAACATAGCCACCTTGTCCCCAGGGTTAGGGTGAGGTGTAAATGTAGTCACCTAACTTCCTTTCTTCACTGACTTTTCAGAATGGCGTAATTAAAAGCATTGTTTAAGTAAGTGGGTTTTTTGCTCTTGCTATATTTGGACAGCAGCCTCCCAGCAAACATCCAGTTGGACATCGATGGGGACCGTGAGACGGAACGTATCTACTCTCTCTTCAACCTGTATATGGGCAAGCTGGAAAAGATGCAGGGTGAGTGCTGCCCTGGACACGGGAACATGGGGACCCACAGGCTGTGGCACCTGTGAAGGTCCTGAGGCACAGGGCACAGAGACACCACCAGAGCCTCTGGGGTCCTGTGTGCCCATACAACCTATGCCACTGACAGACAGGAAGCTTTGCACAGGTTAGGCAGTGATCCAGAGGAAAAAGTAGTCTGACAATAGGTTATGCTGATGGTTTGAAGAAAGAATTTAGCTTACAACCTCTGAACTACAGGCCCTGTTTCTTAATAATCTTCTACACTGTCAGACAAGTTTCCTTCCTCTGTTTTGCAGAGATGTGTGTATGAGTGTATGTGAATGTATGTGAGCATGTCGTGCACATGGGTGTGCACATGAGTGTGCATGTGTGGACAAATGAGCATGCATGTGTATAGTGTGTGTGGATGTGGGGGCAGGTTTGCATGTGTGAGCACACGAGTGTGCATGTTTGGACATGTGTGAGTATGCATGTTTACAAACATGCCTATGGGCATGTGGACACTGACAGGTGCACATATGCATGTGGACACATACAAGCATGCATGTGCATGTGTAAATGTAGGCATGTATGGGTGGACATGTGGGTCTGCCTTTCTGTGTGGACATATGAGTACATGTGCACATGTGTGGGTGTGCACGTTCATGTGTGTGGACATTGTGAGTGTGTGTGTACACATAAGTGTGCCTGTTTGTGAACATACAGATGAGTGTGTGTGGACACATTGGTGTGTGTTGCAGGTGTGTGAACACATGAGTGTGAATGTGTGTGAGTATAAGTGAATGTATACGGGCATGTTGTGTATAGTCCATGTGTGGACGCGTGGGGCATGCATATACATTAGCACATGTGAGCATGCATGCATGCAGACATGTGAGGGTGTGCAGTGCATGTGTGGACATGTGGGGCGTGCGTATATATGGGCATGTGTCAACATGTATGTATGGGTGTGTAGTGCCTTGTGGACTTGTGGGGGGGTGTGCATATGTGTGAGCACATGTGCATGTGTGGACGTGTGTGGGCACATGTGTTCATACAGGCATGTTGTGGGAGTGCATGCCACATGCCAGCAGCTCTAGGCTCATAGCATGTTTCAAATAGCTGCAGCCCCATTATCCTCAACATCTCATTGCTTCACAGAATTACAGCATTCAACCTTGATGTCACAGATTAGATGCCACAGGATCAGGGTTGGAGATCTGTGACTTGGGAGGGGCAGACACAGAATGCACGGGAGGCGCATAAACCCTGCATCTGCCTCCACTTTGAGGCCAAGGAAATCTCAGATCCACTCTTAGGGATTATATGCTGAGCTCTTGTGCCCACACTATGAATGTGAAACAGGACAGACATGCCTGAAAAAGTTTACTAGGGTCCTGCCTTCTCATTCTGCTTAACCCAGAAGCGTCTGTGTGCCGTGGCTGGCATTGTGTGAGCACTGTGTGGGCCTTGTACCACCACTCATGTGGGAATCCATCATATCTGCTCTGTGGGCCTCACCTAGCCTGGCCCGGGACATGCATAGACTTTGGTCACAGACAATGCAAAGCAACTGTACATGTCCACGATATATACATGTGTGTACACACACACACACACACACACACGTATATAAGTCATGTCTTCTCCCCCAGCAAGTATGCCACACACAGTACCTGGCCCTGAAGTTCCAGGATGCCACACAGTGTGGGCCTAAGGCTTTATGAGGTCTCAGGGTGGCAGAGAAAGTGTAGCCAGGTGGGGGAAGCCCTGACAGCAGTGACCAAAACAGAGGAGAGCAGAATCAGAGGGCCTTGGAGAGGCCACCATTAAGACCCAGTGAGGAATGAGATCTAGTAGCCCTCCATGATCTTCCAGCCTCTCCCACCCCACAATGCTGTGTGCCTCATGCCATGCTCCTCCCTCTGCCTGGAATGCCATCCTTGCCTCAGTTTGGATGGCCCAATAGCCTAGGCTCATCTCTATCACCTCAAGTATAGCCACCTCTGATCGATTCATCTTCCATACACTATGACCTTTTGAGAGCAATGGCCAGGTCTTATTTACCCAGGGCCTGGCACAAAGGAGGTGCTAGCACCTATGGATGGGTGGATGGATGGATGGATGGATGGGTGGATGGATGGACAGATAGGTGAGTGGGTGGATAAATGGGTAGATGGATATCCATGGATGATATATGGAAGGATGGACAGGTAGGTGGATGGATAGGTAGATGGGTAGACAGATGGATGAATGGATGAACAGATGGACAAGTAGATGGACAGATGGATGAGTAGATGGATGGATGGATGGATGAGTGGATGGACAGGTTGGTGGACAGATGGATGGATGGATGCATGCATGCATAGACAGGTAGGTGGATGGACAAATGAGAGGATGAGTGAGTGAACAGATAGGTGGTAAATGGATGGATACTCATACTCAGCCTCCTTCCCAATAAGGAATCATCTTGACAAGAGTCCATGGATGTTGACTTGATTGGAACCTCAGAGCTCACTTCCCACATGCGTCCGACAGGGCATGGAGTTATTCTGCAGTTTCGGTGCTTTCTTGGTAGTTTTGTTGCTGGAGAGTTCTAATTGCATTGAGACATTCCATTTGTATTAGCCAAGCTCCATCTCCCCAAACATTTGACCCATGGTACTTGGTCCCCTGCAGTTAGGAAGTCCTTCCTTTCAGAGTCACAGCAGTAATTTTTTCTTTTTCCATGCCAGTTTTATCTTTTCCTTTCCTAATCAGAATCTATTTAATATTCCAGTCAAGAATTCTGCATGTAATTCCTGGCTTATGGGTGGGAGTGTCAGCCCTGCTCATGTCTGAGCTGCCTTTGGGGTCTTTCTTCCCTCATCTTGAAGAATATGTGTGTCCACAGCTGAGTAACTCTGTGGTCTGATCCTGTGGGTGTGGAGAGCAGATTGTGAGAAGCCTATGAGAACTGGACATAAGCAAGGCGAGATGCAGCTCAACTGTTTTTCCTAAGATTATCTGTAGGCAGAGGTAGGCACAGCCTCAGCCACAGAAGATGGAAATGCAGAACAGCTGCTTCTAAGCAGGAATGCAGTTTCACCTTTTACAATGTCTTGCCCCTCCCTGAGAACCGCAGCTCCACCCTGGGTATAAAAGACTCACTGAAGAACACCGGGCTTTTACTTTGGGGGCTTTTGCTTTTGCTTTGAGGCTTTTTGCTTTTGGTTTTCTGATGGGGAAGGCTTTTTGGATGTGGGAGGCTTTGGAAGGGTAAAGGATTGCTGAAGGATAAAAGAATTGCTGAAGGAGAATTGCTAAAGGGGAATTGCTAGCAAGCCTGAGGGCTGAGACTTTAAGAAAGCTAAAGAGAGAACATGGGACAATGAAAGTCTGCACCAAGAACTTTATACATAGGCTTTAGAAAAGCTAAGCTAAAGAAAAGCTAAAGAGAACAGTGCAAGTCTAAGGACCCAGACTTCAAGAGTTACGCATATGCAGATTTTAGGCATAACTGTTGTTTGCAAGTCTGAGCACCGAGGCTTTAAGAAAGCTAAAAAGACAATGCAAGTCTGGGGGCAAAGACTAAAGAACAGCTAAGAGAAAACATGGGACAGAGCGAGTCTAAGGAAAGAGGTTTGAACCAAGATTTTAAAGAAGACTTTAGAAGCAAAGTTTTAAAGAACTATAAAGGAGTAAGGCCTTAAAGAATAAAGATAGAGAAAAGATGCAACGAGGGTTGTGCGTCTCCACCTGAGCACCCAACACACCTGATTCCACTTTCTGTCTGTCTATCCTGTGTCTTTTCTGAATCTCCAGTCTCCCCCAGTTAAGCACAGTTAGGTTCAGTAATAACCAGGAGTGAGAGAGAAAGCTCACTCCAACAAGGGAGTGAGAGGGAAAAGCTCGTTCCATGTGGGGTCTGAGATGTCAGGAGCCTTCCATCATTTTGTCCTGTTTGCTATTTCCTTTAATCCTCCCAGCACTGTTTGTGCTGGGATAGCCCCATCTCTGTTGAGACAGCTGGTGAAATCCACAGTTCACACCACACTAGCCTCCCTGTCAGGTGGGAGTTAGCAGTCCCTTCTGAACACTCTCTTGTTTATAGTATCCACAGGCTGAGAATTTTCCAAACCTGTAAGTTCTGATTCCTTTTTACTTACCAATTCTACCTCCATTTCTCTCTTCTCTCGCTTTTACCATAAGCAGTCTGGAGGAACCATGCCACTCCCCCAACACTTTGCTTAGAAATCTCAGCCAATACCTAGTTGCATCACTTGCAAGTTCTGCCTTCCCCAGACCACGGAGTACACAACCAGCTCAGCTGAGTTCTTTACCACATTACAACAGGGTGCCTTTTCCCCACCATCCTATAGCCCATTTCTCACTTCAGCATGAGACCTCACAGCAAATGGCCTTTGCCACCCTTGTCTTCACCAGTGTTCTCAGGAAGAGTGAGGCTTCCCCTAGCTACCCTCTCCTCCGTGTCTGTTCTTGTCATTGTGACCTTTTCCTAGCCTGACCTCCAGCCCCTTCCAGTTACTGCCCCTGTCCAGTTCCAAAGCCATTTCTACATCCTAGGCAGCTCTTACGGCAACTTCCTACTTCTTGGCACCCAGTTCTGCCTTAGTCAGTTTGGGCAACCATAACAAAGTGCCCTCAACCCGGTGTTTATGGTTACAGCAACAAAGATTCCTTTCTCACAGTTCTGGAAGCCAGAGCATCTGAGATCAGAGCCAGCTCTGCTCGTTCTGGTGCGGGTTCCTCTGGCTTGCAACTTCTGATCTCTCATTGTGTCCTCACATGTGGAAGGAGTGAGCGGGCCCTCTCTGGCCCCTTTTACAGGGGCACTAATTCCATTCACAAGGGGGACCCTTTGTCATGACCTAACCACCTACTAACTCCATCCAGCACCTAGAAGTTAGGATTTCAATGAGTGAATTGGTGCGGGGCGGGGCACGACAAACATTCAGTTCATAACAAATGTTCAGAACTACAGGGCCTGAGTGATGGAGCCTGGGGAATGCTGGGGCCCTGTGAGCAGTGAGGCAAGGAAGTATGCCCAGCACAGATGTTTGGGGACAGATGGGGTCCCAGCTTGGGTGTTTGGGGATGGTGAGGAGGCCCCAGGCTCATCTCAACTCAGGTGTTTACAGATAGGTAGGGCGGCTCCATGTTGGGTGATGACCTTCATCATGTTGCATGACCTTCAGCAGCAATGATGTGGTCCCATCAGACATTTAGACCTGGTGAGGAGATGGGAATGGCACAGGGCAGAGGTCCTTAGAAACTGCTAGGCTGTCTCTCTGCCCTTCTGTCCCCAGAGCCATATCATGGCCATGGATGTGCCTAGGGACACACATGATGCGTGCCACACTCAGTGTCCTTTGTAGGATAGATGTTTGCCCCACTTGGGCTCTCAGACTGACCCTTTAGGGCCATCCAGGACCTGTGATCCAGCCTAGCCTGTGTCCAAGTGTGGACATCATCTCTCTTAGTTCTGGCAGGAGGGGTGTGGATGGAGGTGCAGGTCACTCATAAGAAGGGCTGGCTGGAGACAGACATGAGACTTGGGGGTATCAGTCTTTCAGGATGCTGGCAGGTAGGGCTGGGCTGTCCCTCTCCCCAAGGCACCTGGGAGTTGGATTTCACTTTGGACAGTGCCTGCCCACAGGAGAGACTTCTATTTCTGTCCACACTTCATGCAGCTGGTCAGTCCATTCGGGGAGGGGCTGCTTTGGGGAATACACTGTGGGTGAGCTTGCAGATGACTGGAGTCAGAGCAGGGACATTGGGGACCTGGGCTGTGCTCCTCACTGACCCAGTCCTGTCCTGCAGAGGCCTGTGGGAGCAAGTCCGTGTACGATGGCCCAGAACAAGAGGAGTACTCAACCTTCATCATTGATGACCCCCAGGAGACCTACAAGACGCTGAAGCAGGTCATCGCTGGGGTAGGGGCCCTGGAGCAGGAGCATGCACAGTACCGGAGGGACAAGTTCAAGAAGACGAGATACGGGAGCCAGTGAGTGCCATGGAGCTGAGGGCCATGAGGAGCAGGGTGTGGTGTGGGGCATTTCTGCTGGGGCCAGGCCCCGCAGACCCTCCTGCATGCATGAATGGGTGCACCTGGCTGTGGGCCTGGTGGTCCTCCATGGAACCTGATGGCCAAGAATGGGCCCTACTCTCCTTCAGGGCAGAAGCCTGGCTCTCCCTCCCCAGGCCCTCTGGCCAGTGTCCTTGGAGACATTTTCCCCTACCCACCCTTGTCTTCTGGGCCTCCAACTTCCACCATGTCTCAGGACCAGCTCCATCTCAGGTCCAGGCCCTATCCGCCTCAGGTGTATGCCCTTTGCCATCTTCCCAGGTCACCCAAGGTGCCAATGCAGGCACAGCTCGCAACTAGACATATTTTTGTCCCGTGAAGGAAGAATGTGAGGTGTGCAGAGATTGAGGGCTTAAGCCAGGTAGAGGCATTCAGCTGTCACCAGCTTTAGGCTACATGGCCCCGTAGACAGAGGGCTAGTGGAAGATGGAGGTGAATTACATAAAGGGCTAGAACAGCCCCTGGCCTGGAGCCAAGGCAGCCTTGGATGGGGTGGATGTGTGCCCTACATCTGCCCCTCCTCTAGGGAAGAATGAGGTGAAGCTCAGGAACAGAAACAGGGTCCACATCCCTACTGCACCAGGTTGCTCAAAGAATGTCCATGAGCACCCCTGGTGGTGCTGCCTGCCTCTGCTCCCAGACAAGCCTGTACCTGGCTCCTAACTAGTCACTTAATCACACCAGGTCACACTGGACACTCCTGGATGGGGGAAGCCAGGAAACATTTATCTTCTAAAACCCTGCACCCTGCACCCTCTGCACAGGTGTACACACACTGCAAGTGTTGCTCGCAATGCAAAGATGCACAGTCTGCACACATGCCTACACAGCCTACAGAGGCGTGCACATTTGCATAGAGATACACTCTAACATATGCAGACTGACATGTGCAAACATTGTGCACAGGTGTGCACGCTGCACAAACAGCGTATGCATACGTGCAGTGTGCACTGTGCAGTGTACAGTTGTACACACAGCAGACAGTCATGATGGACACTTCTGTGGAGGCACTTTGTACTAATTTTGTTCTCCCTTTGGCTTATCTGCATTTTCTCTATTTATTACAGTGAGCCTGTATCACACTTTCATATAGGTAACAGGGCCATTCAAAGCACAAATGAAAGCCTCAGGCATGGAGAGGACTCTCATTCTCTCTTCTCTTGCCTTTCCAGGGAGCACCCCATCGGAGACAAGAGCTTCCAGAACTATATCAGGCAGCAGTCTGAGGTCTCCACCCATTCCATTTAAAGCCTACAGCTCTAACCAGCAGCACCAGGAAGAAGAGAGAACAAAATATGCAAGCAGAGGGAGTCCACGTTTGTCCCTTCACACAGGCCCCATTCAGCACTTCTGTGAGCTGTTTGCTCCCCTGGTCACGCACTTTACTCGCCTGCCACAGCAGGTTGTCTGAGCCATTCTGAATGTGCAGTCATTTGTCTTTTCACTCACCTTGGTTTCATGGGGATCCAGGGATTTGTTGAACGATGGGGAAATGGGGAGAAATGTGAACTTTCCCCTAACCATTCCCACTCCCTCCTCAGGGAGCCACTGCTGGTCATCATGGCAACGCACGCCTCTGCAGAGCGTGCACTCCTATCTCCGGCTCTTTGCCTGCTGGTCTCTGTGGCCTGCAGCTGTGTAGCCCCTGGCCTCAGCCCTGGGCATTCTGCTCTGTCACGTTCAAGGCGAGAGGTGCAGTGTTTTCTTGGGAGCCTGCTGTCTTAGCAGCCAGCAGGCAGGTAGCCTCCTGTTCAGCATGTGTTAGTTTTCGTTCTGGCTGCAGAATCAGGTTTGTAGCTGGGATAATGGCAAATAACACAGAAGCCCCAATTTGAGGTACCCTTCATCTTGGGGGCAGAGCCCCTTCTGCAGAATTCCTGAGGTAGGGGTTGGTGCAGTCTTCTCTGGGTGGCCATTGACCCCCAGTTTGAGCATACAGTGTCTTGCTGTTGCACAGGGTTTAAAACTAGAATCCATATACCTGCTCCATTGGTGGACTTTCAGGAAAGATTTTTAAACTAGAAATGTGCATTTTTCAAGCTGTTTTTCTTAATGTTTTTAAGGGACAATTTTTAATTCATTCTTTGATATGACTCAGAACATCCAAACCTATCCCTACTAAAGGGAGTACCATGGCAAGCAAATACAAAGGGAATGATGAATCTCTCAAAGCCAACTGCAGGTCACAAGGAAGTGACCATAGGTTGGAGGCTGCACCTTCAATGATGCAGAAGGGCCAAGAGAGGTGTCCCACACATGTCTCTGTGAACCCCAACAGGCTTGACAGTGCACTGACTGGAGCTGCTTTTTGTTGGGGTGGGAGGATCTGAAATGGGCAAGGCAGATAGCTTCTCATGCCATGATCACATGCTGCTGCTGGAATCTCACTCCAAACAGTCCCAGGGGGCAGAGGAGGGAGGCGCTCAGAAGTCACTGTCAGAGGACATACCACTCATCTGGGTACCAGTTTCTCTCTGTTTTCGTTTGGAAATAAGATAGTTCAGACTTGTGGTCTAGATGGCAGATAGTAACAGTATTTGTTGTCACCACAGTAAAGTATAAAAAATACACTTTGGACACACAGCTACTGCTGCACTGAACTTCAATTTTTAACATGGATTTGTAACTTAATGTTTCTGTTTATAAAATACTAATTATTTGCAATGTATTTTACTGGCCAATTAAAACAGATGTTTTATTCTTTCTGAGGACTGACTCAGTTTTCCAGAGGGACCCGCTGGTAATTGAGCATGAGGAAGGAGGAGTGTCCCCATGCGGGGGAGCACAGTGGGTAGGTGGATAGCAATGTTCTGATGATGACACATGACATCTCTGAAATGACAGGTAGCATCTCTCGGATGACAGGTGACACCCCTGACACATGACATCCACCTTGGTGCTCAGGTAGAAGCTCAGCCCCACAATGCCCTCAGGGGAGCTTGCATCTGGCACTGCTGGAAGCTCCCGTGTGGCTGGGGACAACTTGGGGAGGGTAGAGAAGACAGACCACACCAAGGCCATCATCTGTGAGGATGCGGTGGGTCAAGATCACGGCTCCTATCAGAGAGGAGTGATCTGAAGAAAAGGGGACTTTGTGTCTAGGCAGGTTCTGCTGCCCCTTCTCAGAGCAAGGAAGATGAAAAGGACACTGGGGGAGGCTCCACACTCGGCAAGGGGTGCCAGTGTAATTGCCATTTCCTTTCTCCCTTCTTTTCTCCATTTGGTTCTCACTCTGTCCTTTTTCCATTTTAATTCCATCAGAAGTCAACTCTGGTAGGAGAGTTGTTTGGCTCTGTGAACACTGAGTTGCACATTTCTCCAGGGCATCCTAGGATGAAGGACTGAGGCATGTAGGCTTCCCTGGCAGACTGAGGCTGGAGTAGGTCCCTGGTCAGTTTCTTCTGTACACAGAAGGGCAGGGAGTTAGGGCAAGGAGGTATGTACCCCCTTCTCGGCCTCCAGCATGCCTACCAAAGCTAAGATGTGGAGCATCCAGCTGTCTTGGCACATGTCTTAAGGCAGTCTGGGCAGCCCAGAGCTGAGCATTTGTGAAACTCAGCAAGGAAGATTCATAGGAGAAAACGAAGCTAACACTCAGCACTCACAGGAGGGTGCCTAGTTAACACTCAGATCACACAAAATCATGCCTAATTAACACACAGCTCACACTGCAGCATGCACAGTTGGATTCAGCCCAGCAGAAAAAAAGGAGCGTGGCTTGGTTGACCCTTGTAGAGAGGAGGCCCAAAGTCAGAATGGATGAGCCCCCAGTGGTGCAGGTTCCTGAATCCCCTTTGCGTCTTCCAGATGCCAGGAATGACCACATAAGGCCACAGAAAAGATGGCTTCTGCAGGCCAAGGGAGGAACCAGCCCTGTGATGATTTTGGACCACCCAGGCTGTGGCATCCACTAGTTTTCATGTCAGTGCAGTTCAGATCTTCCTGAAAGGCCTCCCCACTAAGTCATCTGTCTCTACAGAGTTTCTCCCTTTGTGATTCTGGATTAGGGCCCAGAGTCCAATCACAGCACCCTTAGGTTCATTCTCCTGAGTTTGATCCCCAGCATCCTCTTCCCTGGAAGGAAAGAGAAAGATTCCCAAGTGTGAGAACACAGGTTGGCAGACTCAACGTTGCTGCTAAAAGGTCTTGTGCTGGGCTCGGCCCTTCCACCCTTTCTCTTGTGGTAAAACTGAGAAACAGAAAGGGGAAGGGATACTGGGTGCTGGTGGCTCACGCCTATAATCCTAGCTACTCAGGAGGCAGAGATCAGGAGGATCACAGTTCAAAGCCAGCCTGGGTAAATAGTTCACAAGACCCTATCTCAAAAATCTCATTATAAAAAGAGCTGGTGGAGTGTCTCAAGGTATAGGCCCTGAGTTCAAACCCCAGTACCGCAAAAAAAAAAAAAAAAAAAAAAACAGGAGGGAGACTCCAGGCCATGCACCAAATCCTGGCCTAGAGGGACCTCTGGGCTGGGCACAGCTGACCTTTGACCCCTGACCCATGATGATGTCATAGCAGTGCCCTGGCAACAGAGGTCCAGGCACACTCTGGGAGAAAAGACAAGAGGGAGAGAGGTTGGCAGCGATGCCCTCAGTCTGAGGCTGAGCTGGCGGCAGCTCCCTCCACACGGGTCAGGATGGAGAAGGATTCCACTGCTCACAGGAGGCACCGGCCTGGCCCCGGGGCCCTGCCCCCAGGAATAGCCCCTGGACACTTCAAGGCGGCCAGTGAGGGGGCCGAGCTCCACAGGAGCAGAAGCGTGGGTGGCTTGCACCAGAAGGGGGACCCACCAAGCCGCATCAGGAGACTGTGCAAGGGGTTAGGTAGGGGACTCCCCTCTGGAGGGTTGGGAGGGTGGGCAGAGGGCCTGTGGACACTTGAACACTGGTGATTTACGCATCACTGAGATGGATTCCAGTGAGGGAGAAGGTGGGTGGTTTTTCTGCCTCTCATCTTGATCACCAGACACACTTTATAGGAAGGAGAGAAACTGGAAGATGCGCCTGGGACAGCTTGTGTCTTCTGAAACACATGCACACGTGTACACAGCTGAGGCTGCTGGAGACCTTGCAGGAGTCAATTTTAAATTCCTGCTAGAAAATGAGGAGTCTGAGTCACACGGGGCTTCTTACCTGAGGCTGGGACTGTCCCTCCCTGAGGGACGTCTGGGAGCTACCAAGGTCTAAGCTCATCTGTAGAGCAGCAAAATGACCCCAACCTGCCCAGTGAAAGGCCTTGGTCTTCTGGCTTCCCCTGTCTGCTGGGCCAGAAGATTGACCACCAGCCTGAGTCCAGACTACAGGCAACAGAGAGATGAGCACAAAGCTCCCTGAGAAAGGGGACAAATGTCACAGCTCAAGGTGTGCTGAGCACAATTTGATGAGCTCTCCCATGGGTAGGGCACTTCATGAGTGCCCAGTGTCCCCATGAAGGATGTCATTGGGGGATGGGCAGGGACAACAGGAGGGCAGGAGGGACAGCTAGCAATGTCCCCAGGTCTGAAAGCTGGTCCTGACAAAAAGTAATAGCCCGTTAAGAAAGGAAATCTCCAGGACAGGTCTGCCCCTCCCCCAGCTCCTGGCCTCATTATCCATCAAAACTATTGTTTAAAGCTTTGGAATTCCCTGGGTTACATTTGAATCCCAGAGCCCTTGCCAGGAGCAGACAACACCAGCCATTCCAGACCCAGATCTGGCTCAGTGGCAGCATGGGGCAGGTGGCCCTGCAGCACAGCAACTGAGCATCCAACATGAGACGACCCTCCTGAGGCCCCTGAAATCCTAAAGTCACCCTCGCTGACTCTTCCCTGAAGTTCTGGGCTGGATCACCAGCTGGAAGTGGATGGTACACTCAGGAAGAGTGTGCCAGGAGCTAGCACCCTGTAGAAGCCACAAGGCTAAGGAGGCCTGTGCCTCCCAGCGTCGCCAGGCTGCAGCTCTCATAGATATTCCTTCATGCTTCATGCTCTGCACTCAGAGTTCCCTCAACCTCGGGAAAGTCCAGGTTGCCTCCTGCCCACCTCTAACACAGGGCAAAGGATTGCTAAAATTCTGGCAATGTGCCTCAGAGAGCCAGGAGAATCTGGACAAGCCTCCTCCCTCTGTCTTGTGGGGAGGAAGCACAGGCATGGCCATTCAGGCAGGGTCTCCTCTCCCTGCCCTCTGCTCTGCTGCTCCAGTCAGCTGTGCTGGGATTTGTGACCTGGGATCTCACATGCCCTGCAAGGCAAAGGCCCACTAACTTGAGTCCTGCAGAGAAAATGCAGAGCCAGGATGTGCTTTTGCTAGGCCTGCATTACACAGGTTCCAGCCCAGGTGTGGAAGGTGCTGCAATGGCAAAGATGGCAGTGGCCCAGGGCCCCGGGGCATGAGCTGAGGGGACCAAATATACCTGGGGCAAGAAACTTTCTTTAGCTGTGGCCATTCACCATAAGGTTGGCCTTGCACATGCCCTACAAGGAACTGCAGCCTGAGCAGTGGACCCATGGGGTGGTGAGCTGTGGGGCTCAGGGAACAGGAGCCACATGGCCTGAAGTGTTGAAAGAACTGATCAGCCGTCCTTGCCTCTCAGAGTCTGAAGACCAGGGGAAAGACCCAAGAAGTGATGCAGATGAGGCCGATTGGTAAGTTGGTGGTCCAGAAATGAGGACCAAGGCTGCTGGGAGCGGGCGGCAGAGCCCTCCTTGAGGACCGGGATTTGAGAGGGACCCAAAGAAACCCCACCTGAGGGCTCAGTGGAAAAGTTGAAGATTCTTAATATGGGGACTCATCATAGAAACAAGACCCACCTGGGTGCATCTCAGACTGCAAACACCTCCCTCCCCACTCCCCTGCTACTTGCGGGCAGCCCTGTCCAGCTGTCCTGGCCTCATGACCAGCTGATTTGGTCTAAGGATGTCAGAGCTGGTATCCAGCTCAGCAAACCCCTCCATAAGCCAGTCACTGGTGGCTCATGCCTATAATCTTAGCTACTCAGAAGGCAGAGATCAGCAGGATCACAGTTCAAAGGCAGCCCAGGCAACTACTTCACGAGATCCTATCTTGAAAAAACCCACCACAAAATAAATAAGGCTGACAGAGTGGCTCAAGGAGTAGTCCCTGAGTTCAAACCCCAGCTCTCCCAGAAGAAGGCTCTGTCTTGGCAGCACTGTGAATTCAACCAACCCAAATGACAGGTTAAAAGGAGGAAGCAGCCCCAGACAGACAGAAATCTCACCACCTTGCACAGTCATTCTTTCTGCACTAGTCACCCACCCTCCTGCCCTCGGGGGGCTTACAAGCCATTGAGTTGCCCAAGGGCTATTCTCAGATACCAGAAAAAACTTACTCACCAATTAGAAATGGGGGCCAACTCACCAGCTTGCAAATGGCCCCCCTTGAGTGGAGGCCAGGGAGGGTCTGCCCCCAAGAAGCCACCAAAGATGTCATTGGCTGGTAAAGCTAGGTGCCCATATGTCACATGAGTACATGTGAGGAAAACTTAAAGCACCCTCCTTGCTTTGGGTAAGGGGCAGGTTCGAGCTGGGAGGACCACCCACCATGTTGGTGGCACAGCCAAAACCATCTGCCCACTTTGATCAAGTCAAAAGCCAGCAACCATCCAAGTCCCATCACTGGTGGGGAAGCCCCCACATCTTCCATTTCTACACAGCTCTTTCCCTGGCTACACTCAACAAAGTGTGTAGGGGGAGGGTCACCCAGTTGGATATGAGTAGAAGACACAGATCTGCTCTAGCCCATTGACCTCCATGGCCAGGAGGCTCCATGTAGTGGGTGGTGAGTGACCATGTCTTCTAGCCTCATGTTAGTCCTTTGAGCAAGGTTAGACTGTTTTCTGAAATAAGCCCCATTTGACTAAGTTGTTGCCAGCTCAGAACTGAGAAATTTGGGATGTTTGCAGCTGAGATGGGTCATCAGAGGGGGCCAGGAGAGCCAGGCCCATCCATGTAAGGAGGGCCCTTCAGATCAGACCCCTTCTGCCACTGTAAGGGCCCTCACAGTTTCATTCACTATCATCTCTGGGGAAGGAGCCCAGATGGAGACAGCAGAGGTTAGCCTGAAACTGCCTTGTCATAACACCTATTCCAAGCCATTTTTTTTCTACTTCCCTCACAGCCAGGCAAACCTTGACGAAGACACAAAGGAAAAGAGTCAGGATGCCCTGGGAAAACTGGCCCACAAGGGTGGGAAAATGGAGTCAGAGACTGAGAAGAGTGACTCAGAGGCCAGCGCCAAGGAGGAGCAGGACGGAGCCTGCATGGCAAGATACACGCCAGAGACCAAGGTCAGGCTAGGAGCAGCTCTGCACCCTCTGTCCTCCTGCATGGAGTCCCTGTACTCACCCATTGGTTGTCTTACAGGTTGATTTACAGGAGCAAGATCCAGAGTCTGTGAGGCTGAGCAGCCTTCTGGAAAAAGAGGTAAGAGCTTCTCGCTTTAGTAGCAGGCAAGAGTCCTACTAGGCCATAAGTATGCTATAGACTTGTAGTCCACGGGGTCATCTGGGCAAGTGCCATGCTGTAGAACTGGATTTGGGGCCAGGCTCTGTGCCTGCCTGTTCCTGGGACATCCAGGATCCAGCTTGCCACGTTATAAAGATGTAGGGTCCTGAGCAGAGCTAACTGCAATTGACCTTGGCACAGAAAAACACTCTGCAGAACTGGTGTACTGACCAGAGACACACCATACTTTGTGAAGGAAGGTAGCTTTGCTTCTCCCTCCCAGACCATGTGGTAGAAGTGGAGGCAGCTGGATTCATTGTTCATCAGGATTTTACAACAGATGTTTGGTGTGATTTTGGACTAGCCAAGATGTCCAGATAGAAACCACAGGGCAGCCAATGCCAAGCTGCTGGGCCCATCCGTTCCCATCCCAGCGTAGATCACCACCACTTGGTGCAAAATGGCTTCAGGCAGGTGTGTGAAGGCAGAACCCAAGTGCTGCCCAGTACAGCTGATCTGGAGTGGTGATAGGTTTCTCCAGGTCTCCTGGGCACTCTACAGCCAGTGAGTAAGAAGGGTAAGGAGGCCATATTTCTCTCTCTCCCTTTCCTTCTGAACTGGCCCCATACACGCCTCTACCTAGCTTCAGAGGAGTCCCCGCACCCCCCACCTCCCCACACTCCCGACTAGCATCACCAGGATCTGATGGTGGTAACTGCCCAGACCTGGCTACACCAGGAGTCCACAATCTCCCCCACCACCAAGAAGACTGCTTTGCTGCAAGCTCATTTACACCTCCTTGTTTCCATTCACAGAAACCATCTGTGTTTGTGGAGATTGACCTGGGAGACAATGCTGAGGAGGTATGGACAAAACCCTTCAGACAAGAAAGCCAAAGCACCCACCATGAAAACACCTGTACTGTCCAGACAGGCTTTTCAACGAACTTGCCCATAGCTGGCACATGTTGGAGGGTGAAGCAGAGAGCTAGAGCCAACAGCTCCAGGGATGCTCTATGGTGTTTAGAATTGACATGGGGGCAGGGTGAGGACACCCTGGCCCCTTCCTCACTCTCCCTCCCTCCCTTCCACACATACAGAAACTCTGACACCATCAGAGGTTCTGGAACCTGGGCCAAATCTTGAGGTGCCTGTGGGCCCTGGAAGCTTGGAAACTGGGAGATCAGGCTTTGGGAGATGAATGCCTCTGATAGTAACTGCTCAAAAAACTCATGTACTTCCCATACCTGAGTCGTCTGCTTGCAGAATAGAGAGAAGTTTCATAGAACTCTCAGAATAGCATCCTGTACCCAGAAAGCCTCAGAATTAGGCATCACCACTACCATTACCACTATCTCCATAACATCATCACCACCATCAACTCTTCTAAAACACCACCACCATTATCACCACCATTGTCACTATCTACAAAAAGACAAGGTTGACCAAGGGGCTTGTCTGGTCCCCTCCAATACAATCTGGGATCTCTTCCTCCAATTCTCTGCTGTTCACTGTAGTGAGCAGTCATCTTTTTGCAAGCTCCTTGATGTTCTCTGTTGGCAAGTTTAAGCTCTTTCCTGAGTGCCAGTATTTTCCAAATTGTACCTTTAATCCATTTTGCCCTCAGATTACACAATAGGTGAAGAGGAATAGTCTCCTACTCATGGAGGCTCTGGGATCTAAGGAGGGTCAGCTCCCAGGAGGGTCAGCATTGAACCAAGGGACCAGATCTCCCTATCTAGAGTCCAGAAAGCAAAGTAGGCCAACACAAGTGTGCAGATCCTCAGTAAGGGCCCCTAACTAGGGATTTTCACCCAACAGATCCCTGTGTGGTGGCAGGTGCTCAGGGCCAAGGTGGACTCTGTGCCCCCTCTCTGTCCCCCACCTGTTATTTGGCCAGGTCCCACAGATTGATACCCTCAGCCTCTGAGCCTTTCCTGCCACTCCCCACAGGAGGTCATGTGTGCCATGAACGAAGAGAAGCAACCTGAGGTGGACACAGGCGACTTGTCAGAAGATGAGTGAGTGGGGCTTGGGATTTATTCTGGGCTGGGGAGATTGTCCTCCACAAGTGTTGTGGGTCCCCCCTGCGGGAGCAGCCTCCCGCTTCCCTCTGCTCCCTGAGTGTGTGCATTTATAGGGGCTGTGGGGCAGGCAACAAGGCAGGGAAGCTTCTAAGGGCTGAGGGACACTCTCCAGGAACCTCATCCCTCTCCACAAGCCATATCATGTCTCCCAATGCCTTCAGCCAGCAAATGGCCAGATGGGAGGGAGGGAGATAGGGAGGAAGCAGAGGTGACAATGGGTGGTACCAGCATATCCAATTAGCAGAGGCCCCAGACCTGGGTCCTACAGACTGTGGAAGATGCAGTCAAAGTGAGGCAGGCCCTTCTCATAGGCCTTCAAGGTGGGAGGGCATGAAGATTCCCATGATCCAGGCCCCTTCACGCTGGACCCTATATGGACCAGAAAAGCAAGACTTCCTGATGCCCCAAAGTCTCAGCCACAAGGAAGGGCCAGTGGATCTATTTCAATTTATTTCAAACAATATGAGAAATGCAAAGAAGAAAATAGCAATTATCCAATTTCCCACCTCTCAAAACTAATAGCCATATTAGTATTTGGCTTACAGATTTTGTAAAAGAAAAATCGGTCTATTGGTTTTGTAAAACTGACATGGTTTTTAAGGGACTGAAGCTGTGTAGAATAGCATCGGGGAAGTTTTAGAATCACCCCAAGATCCACCTCTTTGAAACAGGAGTCAATGGGCTACGTGCTCCTCTTCAATGTCTGTGGATGCTAGCACTGCCCTGCAGACAACGGGCCACCACAATACTGCCCTTGTGGTTGGAGCCTGGAGCGGACGCCAACAACATTTTAGACAGTTACTGCTACTGTTATCACTACCTTGTTTCAGCCTTTTATGTGTTGGGGCAGGGAATTCAGTGAAATAGCTTTGTCCCAGATCTCTAATTCTGCCACATGACCGGGCCACGTCAGCCTTTACCAAGACATCAAGATTCACCTCATTTTATCAAATCTAGACTTGACACCAGCAGGTCTTTTCTAAGTGAGAGTCCTTGGTAGATTTGGCCACAGGGCACACGGGTTGGAAGCTTTTGTTTTCTGCCTCAAAGACAACAAAACATAAAGCTGGGGCCAGGCCCCAGGACCCACTGCACAAGGAACCTGCCAGGTGGGTAGGGTAGGAGAGGCATTGGCTACTGGAGGCCACATGGCTGGGGGCTGGACAAATGCTGGGCTGGCTCAACCCTGGACCTCCCCGCGAATGCTCTATTTTTCTTCAACTTTACCACTCCTGTCTGCTCAGACAGTGGGATCTGGCAGCTATGCACCAACAATCCCCCTGCTACCCAGCTGGATAACTTTGGCCCTGAGCGGGGGTGACCCCTGAGAGAGAAGTGGGCGCCACTGTCTTGCAGGGAACAAATGCAGGCTACTGAGTTTCCAGTGGCTCACCTCCCACACCTCAGGCTCTGTGGCCACTGGGATGGGCTTACTAGGTGGGTTTCTCATGTGTCAGGGGTCCCTCTGGCTAAAAAGACCTGGAGCCAGCTAAAGGTCAGGGACAGGCAGGCTGGTTCTGCAGGGATCTGCAGCCCCGACTGCACTGGGACTTACAAAGGTGCGATGCTACTGTGCACTTGGGGTGGAGGCTGCCATCGGGGTGCCCACAGGTAGTACCAGGGTTGCCTTCTCACCCCCTCGCACTCTTGGCCTTCAGGACAAGGACCAGTTGGGTCTGCTGCATCCCATACCCTACGAGGAGGAGGGCAAGGGAGAACTCAGCAGCCCTGGAGAAGGTACTTGGCATCTGGAGAGGGAGGGGACAGAGGCAGAAGGGCAGAGGTGGCCAGGCCTCTGTGCCCACTCCACAGACCCCCTGGCCAGGCCCTCAAGATTTCCATTTCTGTCTTATGGGATTGGCCAAAGCTGGGAGGAACAAGGGGTAGGCAATGCTGTGATGCAGAGACCCCTGACCAGCTGGACAGTTCTTGAGCAAGTGTGCCCTCAGACTTTGGGGGCAGATGATTTCATCTTAAAAAGACAGAAAGAGTGAGATAATAAGACTTGTTCTTCCTCAGTGAACTGTGCAAAAGGGCAAGAAGGTGGCTCCGCCTTCCATAGATCACATGTCAATGATGACAGCTGACAGGAACCCTGTCCCAACCCCACCCTACAGAGGCTGGGACACCCAGATGCAGCTGTGGGGGCCCAAGCACAGGTGAAGTGCAAGTGCTGTGGTGAGATCTGGTGGGTGCCAAGGGCTCTTCAGGGTGATGATGGACACACCCAGCAGGCCCACTCACCATCCTATAGCTATTACTGGACACAGACCTTGACCCACACAAGGAACAGCAAACCCAGTGCTGCTGATAAAATCCACTCTGAGGGAGCCATGTGCTCCCGACACAGAGGCCTGGCACTCCCGTTAGCTGGCTTAGCTGTGAACCTTTCAGAATCAGACACACGCCTGATGGCTGTAGGGCTCTGAACGAATTTCTCCAAATTTTAAGGTACTTCTGCTGCCTCTGCCCATCTGGGGTGAGGGTTGTGGCGTCTGCAGGAGACAATGCCAGGAGGGATGGAGTATTCAGGAAATGTTCCACGAGTTGTTGCGTGTTTGAACCTCAGTTAAGGGCACTCCTGGTCACCTGAGACCTGGCTCTCGCTTTCCTGTCTGTGGAACAGAGCATCCTGAGGCTCAGCCCCCTCTGTCCCATCAGAGAAGCAGCCCTGGCAGTGGCAGCTCAAGTAGAGTAGGAGCCAAGCACTGCCCAGCACCTGGGAAGGAGGTCCTTCTGTGTGCTGAGGGCTCAGCATGGGACCCAAGATGCCTGGGAGGCTGCTGGCAGCAGTTGGTCTTACTAGAGGGCTGAATGGGGCCTGAGCCCATGAAGAACTGAAGGTGCCCTGAGGTCTGTCCACACCCACAAGGAGCAGGAGGTATCCTCATGTGGCAAGGACAGCAGACCCCATGTTGGTTAATCAGCAGCTACCCTTGGTGGCATCAGAAGCCTCTCTGCCCCATGCCTGCCCAGAGGTCCTCCTTTGAGGCCTGGCATAACCACTGGCTTGGCTGAATCAGGTGGCATTGGAATTCGGGTAGGGGTGACAGCCACATGGCCCCAGCTGCCTGGGATACAGCCACCCCCTGCCCACGTTACCAGAAGTCAGACTACTTGACACCAACAGCCCTCTTGGGCTCCACTAGGCCTGGTGGTGGCATCAACACAGCCTTGGTTTCACCAGGCAGACCAGTGGGCTCAGGATGGAGTGTCCCCACCTACTTAGATCCCAGTAGTCAGAAGTCAACAAGGGCCAAAGGAAAAATGGCCCAGTGCTGAAGCAGTGCCATAAGCTGCCCATGGTCAGGGCCAGAGCGGCAGAGGCATAGTAAGACCCTGGGCAGAGACTCTCCACCAGCCTGAGTCCCCTGTGAGAGCAACACCAGCCACTCCTGGCCCCAAACAGCCACAGCAATGCTGCCAGTTTTCATGTAACCTTCTGTTGGTCATGTGGAAGACAAGTGTTTTCCTTGAGGACCCTTGCTGCTGGGATTGTCTCATATTCCTAGAAGGAGGGCAGGTGTGGAGCAAGAGAGAGCTTTGCAAGTTGAGATCATATTGCACTGGAATTTTTCAGTCAACTTAAGTTTTGGGTGAATCAGAAGCATCATCACCAGTGTCCTCTGATAGCCGTTTCCAGGAGCCACTGAGTGCTGGGGACAGGGCAGTGTGTGGAACAAGTCCCTAACCCTGTGGAACCACCTTCCAGCAGGATGGACAACAGCCCTCCATGTGTCTTAGTTTATCTACGTGTAGTTTTGGTTAAAAAAAAAAAATAGCTGTCTCTGAAAAATAAGTTTTGTTGCTTTGGTGACCACAGCCCCCAAGCAGCACCAGAAGGGAGATAATGCTCCCAGCATGTCCAGGGAAGGCCTGGCGAGCAGAATGGCAGGCCAGCAGGTCCCACCACTATGGCAGTGACCAGTTTCAGGGAGCGGGTGCTTGCGCGCCAGCCCAGCCCTGGCAGTCCTGCCTGTTTTAAGTCAACCTTGTGGGTAGGTTCTACTCTCCTATATTACGGCTGGGGACTTGAGGGCAGGAGACTGTCAGCCCACGGGACAAGAAGTGAGGAGGGTGCACTGTGATGGCAGGGATGCCTTCCAGGTGCCCCGGCTTGTGGCTGCTGCTGGCCGTGTTTGTCTTTCCTGTCACCTCTGCAGAGAGAAGTTCTCCGTCTTTAACCTCCACTGCACTGAGAGCAAACTCCCTCACTGGGCGCAGTGGCCACTTTGGCATGGCCAACAGCACTCCCTAGTGGCCGAGCTTCCCCAAACCTCTCTGTTTTCAGTCCTAGAAACCCACCATCCAGGACCTCCACCACTCGATGCTTCATCACTGTCACAGAACTTAAGCTCTTCAGCTGATTGATTATTCACTAAACATCGCTGCAGTCAGTTATGATGTTCTACATAGATAAACTGGGCCACAGAAGGGTCACCCTGCACTGGCCTTTCACAGCCATGCCCTGGGGGACACAGACCCTCCTCAGCACCTCCACCTAGGGGCCCTGGCCTTCAGACAATGCTTGGCAGTGTGGGCCCCCACAGCACCTTCTCATGTGAACCCCACAGAGCAAAAAAATAAAAACAATCCCTCAAATGTGGATATCTGAGGCCCCTGTGTGCCTGGCCTCCTTGGGAATGGGGACACCCTGAAGCCCATAACAGGCTCTGCAGACAGAGGATCTCTCTCTGGCTGCTGGAGGCCTCAGAAGGCACTGGGTCACCAAAAGACATGCAGAGACAGGAGGATCCACTGCTTCCTTCCAGAGGCTGTGACTCATAATGGTGGGCGCGTGGGGTGGGATGCAGGGGGGTGCATAGGCGTATGCAGGACAGAAACCCTGAACTGGGGAGATCAAGGGCTGACCCATGGAGGACCTGAGGGGATATGGGCTGGTGTCTCAGGATCTCCCTTCCTCTGTGCACACTAAGCTTTGGGACATAATTTGGGGGCTCAGCACACTGGCCACAGCTATATGGGATTCTGACAAAGGTGACCTGGGGATGCAGGCCATCATGAGTGAGTGGGTGTCCTGCAGCGGGTAAGGGAAGAGGCCAGTCCACTAAGGAGACCCCAATTCAGTCATTCTGTTTGTTTCTGACAAAGCTTGCTGTGTTGGCAGGGGACTCCCCTCCCCCTACACACACACACACACTTTACAGATGAGGAAATGGGTGCCCAGGCAGAAAAGCAGGGAACCAAGGACTGAGCACACGTCTCCATGGGATCCTGGCTCACCGCTCTGCTTCTGAGTGGAGCCGACCTGGGTTAGCTCCAACCCCTCTCACCCCCATTTGGTCCTAGAGATGGGCTGCACCACACTCAGGGCCCACTGCAAGCCTGTATCACCCCCTCCAGGTAACAGCAAGGACCCCCGGAGCTAGAGTCAACTGCCATCTCAGGAGAGTCCTCTAGCAGGTTCCACACCCCACAGGGTAGCACAATCCTCCCCCGAAAGGGACCCTGCACATCAGGGAGGCCCCGATCCCTCCTCCATCTCGTTTTCTTGACAGCAACAGCCACACCAGTCCATCAGATTTTTGTCTCTGGCCTCAACTAAAATGGGGTCACTGAGTCTTGAGGCTGGGCACAGCTCCAGGCTTTATGGGGGAGGACTGGGACGGCCTCAGCTCTGTGCTCAACTAGAGGCCCTCTTGGTAAGCCAGGGCTGCGTGTGAACTGGGCCTTGCACCTTTTGAAGGAGAACCCCCCACCACCCCCAGTCTGGCTTGCAGCTTGAGAGCAGAGTCCCTGCTTGCCCAGTATGGGTGGCTGGAACGGGGAGGAGGGGGAGGAGTCCTACAGACTGGGAAGTTCCAGGTCAGCAGCTCTGCAGACAGAAGCTGTGGGGCAGGCCCAGGCATGCCTGGGATCGCCTGGAGTCTTCCCAGAGCCTCCCTTCCTGAGAGCCTGTCTCTCTCAGGTCCTCTGAGGACTGATTGGCAGGGAACCCATACAGCTTGGTGAGCTGGGAACAGAACCACAGATTCCAAGAAACAGCCTGGGCCCTGAGGTGCCAGGGAGACTTGGAAACAAGTGAGGTCGGGATGAGCCAGGAGCCCCGGGTCCTGCCAGGGCTGGGGGGCTTGGCCTCCAGCCCATGATCTACGGTCAGACCAGGTTTTGCCTCTGGCATGGGTTGGCACAATTACCTAAATAATTGGGAGCCCTGGGTCCAGGTCTGGAGGGGAGCTTTCACAGTAAAATGCAAACCAGCATCCAACAGAGACCCTCACACCTCCCACTGCCTGCACCCCATGGGCTCCCTGGAAATGCCTCAATCTGAGAGACTATAAGGACACAGGACTCGCATGGGACTGACAGTGTAGACTCGCTAAAGGGGATGGACAAACAGGTTCACAGTGCCCACACAGGACCTGGGGATTAAGATGGATGCTGTCTGCTACCCCAGTGCCAGTCCACAAGGAATGTGAGGGGCCACAAAGAGCTACTGAGCCTTGCAGCAGTGTCCCCCAAGAGGGAAGCGGTCCCTCATCCTCTCAGAGAAGGGCCAGATCCCCAGATGGTGAGGATGGGGCACTCCTTGGCAGGACCCTCCCCTCACTGGGCAGCTCTTCCCAAGCAGTTGTCTCTTCATCTCGGCAGTGGCCTCATCCCACTCACTGGACCCCTAACCCCGTTTGTGTGAAGTTCAGGCTTGCCATAGGGCTTGCATCCACAGGTTTGTAGTTGGAGCAAACGGCAGATGAGAAGAAAAAAGCAGTTTGCTAACATAAGTGCTCCTTTGGCACTGCAAGCAGGAGATGCCCAGGCAGTGAGGAGCCAAGAGGGGCTCAGCTGTGGTCCCTTTGGTTTCCAGCTAGGACAAGACAAGGGATAGCGGGAGAGAGGACAGGGCAGGCAGGTGGAGTGTGTTAGTGTGTCTATTAAGGCAGATTGCCTGGTGAGGAGTCCAAAGCAGTCTTGAGTGCTCTTTGTTCTCCCTGAGTTGGGGGCGTAACAGAGTACATGTATTTTTATGAGCCTATGTCCTAACTTTAGACAAATGGGGGCAAGGAGGAACCTCAACACACCATCACTCCTTGCCTCACTGTCACACACAGTAAGACATGGATGCCTGGAAAGGCAGGTGAGCTGCTATGCCCGACAGCCCAGGCTTGTGGAGGAGGCAGGAGGGAGCCAGATGGCACCAAGGCCTCACCCAGGGACAAGGCAAGGCACAGAAGGAGAATGTCATGGGGCTGTGTGCTCTGGCTTTTCCCACAACCTCAGGCTGTTGCCTGTTGGCCCCTGTGTCCAGGGAACTGCCTGTGTCAGCCAGAAACTATGGAGCCCAGGCTTGTTTCTCTGGAGCCTCCAGTGTACAATGGGTGCCAGGCATAGTGGAACAGTATGGATGAGGGCCCCTCAGTTCAGTTGGCCGCAGGCACCCAACCGAGCACTAGGCCCTGACCTTGTGGCATGTCCTTTCCCGGGCCTCATGGATATAAAGCCAGCCACTGTCTGCAGCTGGATTCCATCAGTTCAGGACCACATTGGGCCTAATGGCTCCACTTGGCCATTTCTGATGAACTCTGGGGGACTTGGGCAGGATGACCCTGCCTGCCTCCCTGGTGTTCAGACAGCAGGTGGCAACTGCTCGCTCAGGCTGGGTCTGCAAGACCAGTTCCTCCGGAAGCCTGGGTCTATCCCGTTGCTGCTGCCCACTGAGCTAGGAAATGGAGACGTCCATCACAGCCATGGCAGACTTTCCATGCACTGGGCTGTGGCCTCTCCTGGGCCTGTAACCCCTTCATAGTGGTGTGTCTTGCAGAGAATCTGCTAGCTGACCGCAGCTGGACCCTCTTCATGCTGCGTCCTTGGCCTACTGCCCGAGCTATATCCAGACCTAGAGAAAGATCCACCAAGCAGCACTGCAGGGCCGTGGGCTCCACTTGTGTCCCCAGTGTGTTGTCAGATCTTCCCCTCCAGCCCATCGAGGCCCTCTGAGTCCTGGCCAGGGGCTCAAGCCTCACGCAGGTTTGCTGCTGGCTGCTGGCAAGACTTGACATGTGTTTTGTGGCACAGGCTTCTTCACCTGCCCACGAGCTGTCAGACCCCTAGACCCTTCTGTGGTTCCGGGAGGCACCAGGACCTGAAAGTGTCAGGAACCAGGGCTCTGGATCCAGGGCTTCATGGAGCACCATAGCCAGATAAGCAGGGAGTGGCCAGCTCACAGATGGAGTTCACAGCTCCGCCCTCGTTGGCGCTAGGCACCTGCTCGGTAGAAAGCTGGCCTTGCTGAGCTAAGCCAGCCCCAGACACAGAACACCCTTTTCTCACTTGGTAATAGCTCTTAAAAGCCTGGCCTTCCTCTGTTGCTCCATTCTAGAACTGCCAATCAATGCTAGAAGAGTGGGTAGCAGCCTGTCGGACACCAGGCCACACCTCAGCCTGACACAAGAGACTGGGACCTGGTCACAGTGCTGCTGCCTTCTCAACACACACAAGACTGTGCAAGTCCTTCATGTTAGTCATGTAACTGACCTCATGGTGGGACCCTATGGTGTGGTCTGCAGTCACTGAGCAGGTCCCTCTGGTCCTCAGGAGTGAGGTCCCACAACCAGGGACCAGGGGCCAATGTGCCGCCCGCTTGTAGAAGCAGCTGCTCCACTAGGCTGAGCCCTGGATAGGCTCTTGCCTTTCTCTGGCACCTCAGTTTGCCTCATCTTTTCTGTCTCCATCTGAGCCTTGGTGCATGATGGAAACCTAGTGTGACTGAGTGTCTTCTGTCTAGTGCTACAGAACTGTGAGCTCCACGGAGAGTAGCACTGATCACCTCTGAATTCTAAGGTATCAGCCTCACGTGCACAGGCTTGTGTGTGAATGTGTTTTACCAAGTTGCTTTTTCTTTTTGTTTTTTTTTTTGAAGCAGAATATCTCCACATAGCCCCAGCTGGCCTTGAATTTGAAATCCTCCTGCATCTGCCTCCTGAGTGCTGGGATCACAGGTGTACCCCACCCCACCAAGTTGGGGCTTTTTGCAGACATTTGGCATTACCTGGGAAGTGTAGCCGCTTCCCTTTCAAAGCTGGAGGGGCCACTCTACAGCTTGCCATCACAGGCCAGGGGACACAGCAGAGGGAGGGCATAAGAACATGAAAGGCTCCCATGGAAAGCCATCCTGCCAGGCTCAGGATTGGACACAATTTAACCAAACAACAGTTGCTGCAGGTAACAGGAAACCCGAGGTACATTTCCCGTGGCTACTGCAGCCCCTTCAGGGAGATGGCATTCCTCTTGACCTCCCCATCACAGAGGAGAAAGCTCGAACTGGCTGTCTGTAGACTTTGGCGGGGACAATTTCAAATGCAACAGGGCTTGGCAGAGATGGTGGCTACTCAGCCTGAGGCTGTCTGCTCTGAATCTCCAGCCCAGCCTCTCTCAGCAGGGGGCAAAGAGGCCACCATTTACCATTTTTGATTAAACAGCCCACCGCCAAATTTGCTCACAGAAGAACAATGGCCAGGGCTGAGGCCTCTGCCTGTGTGTACTTGTTCCTGAAAGTGGCTGTTCAGTTTCCACTTTTTCTCTAAGCAGTGAGGTCCTTGGGAGCTGGGCATTTTGCAAGCATGACACTGGAGTTAGCTTGGTGTTGGAGGGGACCAGACCCTGACCCTTGACTCTGAGACCCAAGAGGGTGAAGAGGACAGGCTTTCTCTCCACAGGCCAACATGTCATTCTCTACCCTCCTCTGGGGCAGAGAGGAAAGGTCTTAGGAACACTTGTCATGTCAGAAACAAAGTGGACCACTTTCCTGGAGAGGGAAGAATGTGTGCCTCCGTGGAGTCATTCCTCCATGCTGGACAGCATTCACAGGGCCAGCACTGTCCCCACTCTGGGCACAGGGGCCCCACCAGGGACACCGATTCCTTTTCTCTGACACTCCTTCCTGGCTGGCTTCTGGAGAAGTCATGGCACCCAGCAGGTGGGATTCCACTGTTACGCTAAGCTCACAAATGGCCCTTCAGGACCATGAGCTGCCTTGCTGTCCACAGCAAGCGATAGACCCAGTAGGTCCTTGGCTGGCCCTCCCAGAAGGCTCTGCCTGGAGTGCCAGTGAAAGAAGGACTCGGACACTTGGCCCTATGGCCAAGACAGTGCAGCCCACAGTGAGGACAAGCTGGATGAGCTGGCCAGTGACGGGCTAAGACACCGCCAGGCTCATTGGCCTTGGAAGCCAGTTAAGAATGAGGAACTTGACCCTGAGTTAACAGCCCAAGGAGATTTGCAGGAGGACAGGCTGCGAGGTCTGCCACCTCAGGAAGGCAGTCCAGGACCTTCCCCAGCTGATGTCTGAGAGTCAGAGAAATGGTGGGAAGCAGATGAAAAGTAGCACAATCTGATTCTTGGCCAGCTATTCATGCTTTTTAAAGTGTTGGGTTTCTTTATATCATAATTGAATTAAAGTATAACAAACTTCATACACCTAAAGTGTATAATTTGATGTTTGGGAACCTGTAATCACAATTTTGTCTTTTTTGTCAAAAGACAAAGTTAACACAAGTCTGGTTTACAGATAATCAGCAGGAATCTGCAGCTCTAGAACCAGGTGGCACCCGGTTCTAGGAACAGAGTGTTCTGGTGTGCCAAGCAGGGGAGGCTGCTCTGTAGGGCTGAGGAAGCAGAACAGGAGAGTGGTGGCCGTGTTTACTGTCCTTGAGGGGTCAGATCCCAGGCTGCTCCTCCTCAAACTGACTCAGAGGCACTGACACTCGTGGTTTGGGACTTTCTTTGCAAAGCCAACTTTGACAACATTGCACCTAGTAGGAGACCTCCATTCTGGTCTGTTCTGGTCTGTCACCTTGAGCAAGAGGCCCATGACAGTGGCCTCCCTCCCATAAACCTAGCTAATGCCATGGTCAAGGTGAGGAACAAGACTGGGCATATAACTCAGTGGTAAAACGTGTGCTCAGCATGCATGAGGCCTGTGTTCGATCCCCAGCACTGGAAAAACAAAACAAAAGTCTCTAATTTTGTGGCAACTACACACTAGTAGGAAAGCAGGTAAGAAATACGTGACGTGAGGAACATTACATCCCCAGCAGCTGCCAGGGACCCCTTCTCCTTGCCTCCCCAGAGACTAGGCATCTGTCTCTGGTCTCAGCGAAGCATGGATTTTGCAGGGGGAAGCTTGGGTTTTCAGGTTGGGAATCCCATGGGCAGAGGGCCATGCTGTGCACAGTCAATTGAGGTGCTTTCCTGCTGTGCACGCTGTATTCTGTTTCCTGAAGTTAGGTGGCATTCCCCATGTGACACACCACTGCTTTGTACAGATTCACCAAGTGATGGCAGCTGGGTGTTTGTGGTTTGGGCTCTTACAAACCAGGTTTCATGTACGCATCCTTGCATGGACAAGTGTTTTTGTGCCTTTTGTTCCACAGGATTGGAATAGCTGGGTTGTGGAGAAGATATACTTCACTTCTAGGAAACAGCTGACTAAAATAATAGCTCTTCTGGAAGAATATAAGATAAAATCAGAGTGACCTTCAGCTTGGGAAAGATTTTTTCATTAAGACACAAAAGGTTAAACCAGCCGGGCACCGGTGGTTCACGTCTGTAATCCCAGCTACTCAGGAGGCAGAGATCAGGAGGATTGTGTTTCAGAAGCCCACCGGGAAAATAGTTCGAAAGACCCTATCTTGAAAAAACCCTTCACAAAAAAGGGCTGGTGGAGTGGCTCAAGGTGTAGGCCCTGAGTTCAAGTCCCAGTACCACAAAAAAGCGAGTTAAACCACATTTTTTAAAAGCCAATAAATTAACTTTCATCTTTTAAAACTTTTACTTTTCAAGAGACTGCAAAGAAAATGAAAAGGCAGCAACTGGGTGAGAGAAGACATTTGTGGGACACACCTAACAAGGACTTTTGCCTAGAACATGAAAGACTTACAACTCCATGAGAAGACAGACCAACATGGAAGCAGGCAATGTTTGAATGCATTTCATCAAAGACATGGATGGCAATGAAGTACACAAGATGCTGGAAACTCAAAACCATGATGCACTAGAACCACACACGCACTGGAGTGGCTAGACTCAAAACACTGATCACGCCAGGTGGTGACCTGGATGTCGAGCACCTGCAACTCAGGGGTGCTGGCCAGGGTGAAGCAGGAAGCCACTGGGTTTGCAAGGTAAACAGAGGCTTCCCTCTGACCCACACATTCTTTTCCTGGATTTGTTCACATAGCAACTAGAGTTACTGGGATTGATGAAGTCTGGAAGCAGGCCGAATGCCCATCAGTGGACTGGGGTTAACAAACTACAGGAGACCACCAGCAGCAGCAAGGAGGAATTCACTACTGGATGAGTGTCAGAATGATTGCAGTGTTGAACAAGGTCAGGCAATGAAAGCACTCCTATCAAGTCCCAGAGCCTGCAAATTGCTCTACAGTGGCAGGAAGGGCTGGCAGGAGGGACAGAAAAGGAGTTGGAAGAGAGGAAGCTTTGGGAGGGACAGGCTCGTTCATCTTGACTGTGGAGTGGACTCACAGACACACCCATACATCAGAACAGATCACACATCTTAGACATAGGTATTCTACTGTTAGTCAAAGATGAAAGACCCCCAAGTGCACAACAGATGACATCAGTGAAGCGAGGGATGGTGGCACCTCTTCAGTGTGTTTGAACTTAGTACCAGGACACTGTCTGCTAGACACGCTTGCAATGACACCAAGCTGCTGGTGTCACCTCTGAGAAGGACGGGAATGAGAGAATGGTCACACCCTTCCCAGTCTGGACCACATGACAATTCATGAAGAACATGCCGGTCCGCCAGCTCAGGGAAACTCTCCCACTGAGTGCTGTTTCTCTTCACCCCTTCACCCCACCCTGAGGTCAAGGCCACATCTCATCTCACCCAATCATTTCAAAAGTCATCAAACCAGGGAAAGGAGAGAAAAAATCGTGTTACATCTCTCCAGTGGAGACTAAGGCAGGGACCACCCAGAACGCTGTGGACAAGATGTCAAGAGAAGAAGCCAGACAAGAAGAGCACATGCTGTGGTTTTGCTTATCTGAGCATCTGGCTAAGTGAATGAATCCGTGGAAAGCCTGGCACTGGTCATCTCTGGGAGGGCCAAGTGGGACCCTGGGGTCCAGCTCTTTCCTTATCTCCATCAGCAGAGTCAGTCAGTTGCCTAGGGACATCTCAGTAGAGATGCTGGGTAGGTGCCCACATGAGCACATGACAGCTGTTCCCCTCACCAGGGTGCTCCTCTACCCTTCCTGCTGGCTTGAAGTCACCCCTACCAGTTTGGCTCCAGGCCTGTGGAAATGACCCTCCCTCTTAGCCTGCAGTCAGCTCATGCTGGACCCCAGCCCTGTGCCTGGAACCCCATGCTCCAGCCATGGCACTTGGACAATCAGCTGGCCCTCAAAGGCGCCAGGCACCGTCTCTTGGGGATGGGTGTTGTCTCCGTGGTTCAGCCGGCTGTTAAAGATCACGGGCATCCAGTGCTTAATCTGAACCTTTCTGAGCCCCTTTGCAGCCAAGCTCAGGTCCTCGTCAAAGAGCGGGGCCCTTGTCCCACAGCATCACTAGAAACCTG